AACCCATCTTCAATCAATCTTTCTGTCACCGTGACATCTTCAGATACCATCAAATCTGACAACTTCTTAGTACACTTGGTTTTCAAATACCTGTTACCCTCCGGTGTCATCTCTGTGCAAAGAATTCTATCGTTCATCCCCGAGAACCAACCAAGATTCCTAGAGGATATACCATTATCCGTGGAACCTTACACGTATCTTCTATATCAACAAGGAAGGCTTTCTCCCAGCCTTTAGGGACGTGTTTTTCGATATGTTTACAGAGCAGAACTATCGAAAGGCCTTTGAGGCATCAGGACTAGTTCCTAGCAATGTACAGGTAGTATTAGATCACCTTGAAGTATGGCTGTGTACCCTGCCAGTACCCTCACTACCAGAGACACTATGGCAGTCGAAGATCCCAAGGAATACACATGAGTTTGGATCTCAATCTAAGCTTATAAGTGACTCCTTTATGTGATCACCTCTTACTACTCAGGCTGGCTTCTCTCAGCTTGTAAAAGGTGCTGAACTTATATTTCATCAAAACGTGCTTCAAGCCTCCCGTATTGCAGAGCTTGAAGAACAATTAGCAATGATGACCAAGCAAAAGGCACGTAAAAGGAAGCATTTTCAGCATGGTGGTACAATGAACTATGGTGTTGCAGCAGCTCAGTTAGCTGCTGAGGCATCTATGGCATCTCAGCGATCAAAGAAAGCTCATAGTAGTGGTGATCATAAAATAGGCCAACTAGCTCTACGGCGCTGTGGGAACTGCAGAGGAACTGGGCACAACACACGAACTTGCAAAAAAAATACAGAAGGATCTTCTGAATCTGATGTAAGCATAGCATACGCAGGCTCTCTCTTTGATAGTGATTAAAATGAAAACTCGTAACATGTGTTGGTGGTGCTAAGATATTTTGTCGGATTTGGTGATTTGTCGGGTTCGGTGATTAAACACATTACTTATAGTATATATATAGAAGATACTATAGTATAAGTTTTAGCTGCTCTGCTCCTGTTGTTGTAGACTTATATAACAGGGAGCACGCGGAAGGGAGCAAAAATGCGGGAGAAGTACGCCAAGACTTATGCTGATTTACGCATCTAACAGATGCATTCATTAACTATGCGCGCACCAAGCACTGAAGCTGGGGGTTTTTGGATTTTCAGAATTTAGTCTAAAAGAGATCAAGTAGCTGAAGCCCTGCATGAGTCAGCACATATCCGGCATCCGTGAATCATGCCCATAGCAAGGTTGTGGTATCTTCTTAAACACCGCCCAATACGCCTTTGAAACAGGTAAAACCTTTGCAGCCAATTATGCCAACCAAACGCCGAACCCAATCTAGACCGTTTCATTTCCGTAGATGAGAGAAGTCCTTCAAGATACCGGCCATGTGAGTGTTGGTCTGCTTGCCACCACGACGAGGTGCCTTTCGCTTTTTCTCCTTGGGTCCAACTGCGACAATCTTCTTGGGCGCGCTCGAAGGCTTCAAGCCAGCGGTAACGAGCTTCTTTCGCAAGTCGTCCGGGTTCTCTGGAAGTGCAATCTGATGCCACTGGGCCTTGAAGTCGGGATCCATCGTGTGCATAAGCGAAGGATCGTTGAGCCAGACCGTCTTCGGCTGGGCATCCTTTTTATGACGCGAGACCAGCACTTCATTCTTCTTCTCAAGCTCGTTGATGTCTTCTACAGCCGTCGGCCACCCATCCTTGAGGTCCTTCACCGGCAGTCCCGCGGCGGACTTTTGGTTCTGCAGATACCCTTTGAGCTGCGCACTATTGCGAATGTTGTATTTCGGCTTGTAGCGATACAGGTCCTTGACCGGATCCCACTCGATGCGGTTGACGACGTGTGTACTGCGGAGACGTCTCAAGAGTTCAGGTATATGGTGGTCGGGTATGTTTAGGAACTTGGTGATCTGCTCTAGGGTGTGCCATTTCTGGTCTTCGCTTTTGAGGAACTGCTGTGCGTAGAGGAATTGGGTGTTGACGTGATGGCCGGTGCCAGTCTCGCCGGGTTGCGAATAGACAGTGGAGGCGGGGGTGGTATCAGGACGCTTCCGTTTGACTCCGCTGTTGGAAGAGGTAGACGGAGTAGGCGACGGCGCCGCCATGCTTGTGGCGGATTTGAGGAACGACATGGCCGTCGCCCAAGCGCCGGGTGGGCCTGCGTTGGATGGGCCTGCGTCGGAATGAGGGTGAGGACACAGAGAGGGAGACAGAGAAACAGGCAGAGAGTGAAGTTCATGGACGTTTCGGAAGCGGTTAGGCCAAGCCAACGTCGCGCCAAGAAATGCAATGTAGTCCGTGCGCTAATCTTCCCGTCACGTGCCCGCGTCTCTCAAGCTCAAACAAAGCGAACCGACCTTGTCGCGACCAGCAAAAGCGACCTACGCTTGTTCGACGTCCGCCGCACAACCCTTCTCGCGCCAAAGGGTAGGACGCTCCTTTGTCTTTCCTTTTCCCTTTCTGCCTCCCAACTTCTGGACGGACGATGCGCTAGACGAATCTACTGTGCAACTCCCAACCACCCGCTGTTATGGCTGCGGCTGCAGTTGACGTTGGCTATCTAGCCGCGTCCTATGCTGTACCCGCGTCAACATTCCAATCTTTACTATCAGACCCGACGGTCGAACTCGTCCAGTCCTTGCTTGTACAGATTGAAGCGAAAGCCCGGTCTTATGATGACCTCAAATCAGAGAAGCTTCGCTCCGACTTGGAGTTGGAGAACACCGTACGAAGCAACGAGTCCCGCCAGAAAGCGCTCAAGGCCACCGCTGATAAAGCCCTAAAAGAGGTGGAGGAGCTGCGCAACAAGCTCGCTGAGCAAGGTAAGTGAAGTGATTGGTGTTTCTCTGTGTTGTCTTGCTGACCAGCATTCTCTGGAGAAACCGCACGCGAGCAGCTCGAGGCTGAGCTGCAGAACCTAAAGTCCACGGCGTCGACGTCCTCCACCGAGGTCGAGACCTTGGAGGCCCGAGTGAAGTCTCTGGAAGCCCAGAATCGTGACGCCATCGCTCTTCATGAAGCAAAGTCTGCTGCCCACGACCGACTAGCTGACGAACTTTCTGCACAACACCAGAAACTTGTCAGTGTTCGCAAACAGCTGTCCGAGCTCGAGGAAAAGAACCAAACCCTGGAAAATGCTGCCACGGCAGTCAAATATCGCGAGCAAAATCTGCAGCGCGAGATTGACTCGCTGAAGAAGAGCAATGACTGGTATGAGGCCGAGCTCAACACGCGAACGGCAGACAACACCAGGTTCCGCAAGGAAAAGAATGCCCAGATTGCTGAGCTACAGCGGAATTATGCGGACGCAACTCAGACCATCGAGTCCTTGCGCCGCACCGAGTCCACGCAGCGTCGACGTATTGAGGAGCTGGAGCAAAAGGTAGAGCAATCCCTTGCACGGATTCAGCAGGTCCAAGACGAGGCAACGCAGAAACAGCAATCTTTCCAAGCCGAGGTGGATAATATGCGGCGTCTGGCAGCTCTACACCAGGAAAGTGCGAACACGGCCAAGGCCCACGTGCAACAACTTAGGGAACAGCTAGAGACAGTCAACGCCAATGCTGCCCATGAGTTGGGCGTGCTACAGGCCGAAAATGACTCGGAGCGCTCACAACGGGAGGCTGCAGAGAGCAGGATTGCGGAGCTGGAGTCGCAGATTGAGGGACTAGAAGCACATATCTCGGAATTGAGTCAGCCGTCGCAAGTACCCATGACACCTCGCCGAGCAGGCGTAGGTGCTACGTTCGACACCCCCGGCCGGGCAGGTTCCCCAGCTGTGTTCTCTCCTGGTTCCACTCGGAGTCGCGGTGGGCTCTCCACGACGCAGCTCTACGCTGAAAATACCCAACTCAAGAAGGAACTTCGGGTTGCCCAAGACAAGGCCGCGAAACTCGAAGAGACAGTGGCGGAAATGTTGAAGGAGCTGGAGGATAACATTCCGCAGATTGATGAACAGAGACGAGAAAACGAACACTTGAAGGCAGAGTTCGCTTCTGTTACCGAATTACTCGATGGCGCGACGAAAGAGAGGGAGATAGCTAAGAAGGAGGCGCGGAAGGCGCAAGGCGATTACCAAGGGGTTGTGCGTGAGAAGGAGGTGATGCAACAACAGCTTCGCGACCTCAGCATCCAAGTTACGATGCTACTGCTCCAACATCAAATTCGTGAACAGGGTATGGGATCCCTCAGTGAGGAGGAGGTCCAACAGGTTCAAGAATATGCCAAGTCGGGTCTGACGCCGGACGAGTTCGTTAACGATTCGACGGATACCGGACGGCTCATTACCCAGCGGCTAGTGTTATTCAACAATATTCAAGAGTTGCAGACTCGGAATCAAGACCTAATCCGCCATATTCGTGAACTGGGAGAGCAGTACGAAGGTACCGAAGCATTGGAGAAGACGAACGCAATCAAGCGCGATCGCGAGGAGTTGGCAAGATTACGCGAACAGGTCGCTCAGTACCAAGAAAAGATCAAATCTCTGGAACTTCGATCCCAAAGTTTGACCAAAGAACGCGACATGTATCGCCGCATTGTCACGAGCCGAGGCCACGGGGATGGAGGATTAGATGGAGAGGCAGCACATGGACGGTCAGTCAATGGTGGAGCTGCAGCAACCCCGCCGCCTGGGACCATGCCATCCGAGGTCGACCGAACTCCTGCTTCCAGAGAAATCGCAGGGTATGAGAAGCTCATCAAGGACCTGCAGACTCATTTGGATATTCTGCGACAGGAGTCGGCTACGGACCTTGCCAATCTCAAACAACAAGCTGACCGGCTTGCGAAGGAGAATAATCAATTGCAAGCCGACAAGATGCGACTTGATAGCGCCCTACAGTTGGCCAATGAGCGTTTCGAGCTCCAAGTTCAGAAGCTCGGTCTACTTCAATCGGAGAACAATGAGATCAGGAAACGCTGCGACACCCTGCAGGATCTGGCGGCCAAGCAGGACATCAAGACGCAGCAGGTGGCGGAAGACCTCCTCGAGGCAAGAAGTTTGGTTGAGAGTCTTAACCGCGAAAACGCCAACCTCAAGGCCTCTCGAGACATCTCGAAATCTACCGAGACACGTCTGGAAAACGAGAATGCTGGTTTGATGGAGGAACGAAGCCGTTTAAATAAGATGATATCAGACCTGCAAAATCTACGTAACGAACAAGAACTTTCAGAGTCAGAGAATAGGCGACGCCTACAAACCCGCGCGGAATCTCTTGAATCAGAATTGCAAACACTCAAGCGCAAGCTTGAAGACGCAGTGGAGGAGCACAAGAGGGCAACTTTAATACAGGAAAGCGAGCAGCTAAAGGCTCGGAGCACCATCGATGACTTGCGGAAAGCCATCAACAATATGCGTCCCGAGCTGGCAACTGTGAAAACGGAGCGCGACCATCTTCAAGCTCGGGTGGATGAATTGAAGGCTGACCTACGTATCGCCGAAGAGCGTTCACAAAACCTGCAGCCTCGGCCCACTCCTCGGGTTGCTGCTAGTGAAGGATCCGGTGAAGAGGGCCTCTCTCGTGAGGAGCAGCTGAGTATTGAGATCTCCGATTTGAGACAGGCACTGGAGGCTGCTCAAGAGGAGGCCGAGTCTGCTAAGACTGATGCAGCTCGCTACCAGTCCATTGCTCAGGATGTCGAGGAACAAATGGAGGGGCAAGTTGAGGCTCAGGAGCAATATCAACAAGAAATGGATCGGATCATTGCTGAAAAGGATGCCAACATAAGCGACTTGGAAAAGCGCGTTGAGGAAATCTCGTCAGAGCTGGCAGCCACCAACACCGAGCTCTCGGAGCTTCGCAGGGCTCAAAGTGAAGAAAGCGCTCTCTTCAACCAGCGCAAAGAGCAACTCGAAGCTGAGATCGCCCGTCTGCAGGAAGAGTCGGATAGATACAAACAAACCGCACAGTTTCACCAGGAGGATCTAAAGGCACAGGCTGAGATTGCGACCCGTGCACAGCAGAATTACGAAAATGAGCTTGTTAAGCATAGCGATGCCATGAAAAGTCTCCAAAAGGAACGCCAGGAACATAACCAGCTGAAGTCTGAGGTCGCGCAATATAAGAATCAAGCTGAGGCCGCTCGTGCTGCGCTCGCAGAAAGCGAAGATCACTGGGCGGAAACTCGCGAACGTTACGAGCGGGAACTTTCGGAGAGCAGAGCGAGGCTCAATGATCTCAAAGAACAAAACAGGATTCTCCATCAACAACTTGAGAGCATCAGCGCACAGATCGCAGCCTTGAAGCAGAACCGAGGTCCACCGACAAGCGGGGCGGTAGACTCTGGCAGTGCTGAAAACAGTGGACTGCAGGAGCTCGTGAATTACATTCGCAAAGAGAAAGAGATTCTGGAAGTGCAATACGAGATCTCCCTCACGGACAACAAAAAGCTGGAAGGATCTGTTAAGAGCCTGCAAAACCAACTCGACCAAACCCGCGAGTTACTCAGCGCTGCGCAACAATCACAAGCCCAGACGCAGCAGAGCGTAGTAAGCTTGGACGCCTACCAGCGCAATGTTGAGCAGATGAACACCCTTCGCGAAAGCAACATCACGCTGCGCAACGAGGCCCGCCAGGCTGTGTCACGACTGGAAGCGAAGTCGAAGGAGGTGGAAGATCTTTACGCTCAGCTTCAACCTCTTCGGGAACGCGTGCAAGTCCTAGAAGTAGATCTTGAAAGCACCAAGAGCGAGCTGGAAACCGCGAGACAGAATGGGGATCATTGGCAGACACGTTGTCAAGATGTGCTCCATAAGTACGACCGCATCGACCCGGCGGAACTGGAAGCACTCAACGAGAAGATCGACTCCCTGCAATCTGAGCGTGACCAGCTCCTCGAATCGCTCAACGAAGCGAAAGAACAGATCAGCAAGTTCGATGAGCGGTTGTCCACTGAGATCGAAGCGGCCAAGGCAACTCAAGAAGCGAGCTTCCAGGAGCGCCGCGAGAAGATGATTGCTCAGTTCAAGGAGAGGTCGCGTGAACTGTCGGGGAAGATCAAGGAGAAAGATGGGTCCATTCAGTCTCTCACCCAAGAGCGAGATGCCATTCGCCAAGAACTTGAGCAGATCAGAGAAGAGTTAAAGAACACAAGAGCAGCACGGGACGAAGCGCTTGCTCGTGCGGCGAATGCTAGCGCTGATGCTGTCATGGGCGAAGAAGGCCAGATTGAAGAAGGTCTTGCAAATGAGGAGCGTCAAGCTCTGGAAGGTCGCGTCAAAGCAGCTGAAGATCGCGCTAATGGAGAATCGAATCGAGCCGTTGCACTCCACATCGAGAATCAAGGGAAAGACACAAGGATACGAGAGCTTGAGAATCAGATTGTGCGTATCATTTGTTTGGCTGCACGATAAGTCGCTAACTCTTTTCCAGGGCGAGCTACAGCAACGGATCGTCGGTCTCAACAACGAGCTCAGCCAGTCTCGGGAGCAAGTGAGACAATATACTGCCCAGGTGCAGCAGCTGCAGACGCAGCTGTCGACTACTGCTTCCACCCCGAATGTACGCGTAAGAAATAAACTGGACGAACTACGTCTAACGATACCGCAGACTGAGACCCAACAAATCACCACTGCCCCCAGTGACGAGCTTGCTCAGACCATAGAGGCGAAGAATAAGGCCGAGGACCGCGTTCGTCAATTGCAAGCCCAAGTACAGGAGCTAGACGCCCAAAAACAAGCAGTAGGAGACCTTTCTGAGGATGTGGAGAAGCTGAAGGAAGAACTAGCGGCTTCGCAAAAGGAGGTGGAGGATCTTCGTACCCGCCTTACCATCTCAGAGTCGTCTGCCGCGGTAGGTGAGGGTGAGCCGACAGAGTCTGTTTCCGCCCAGATTGCTCAGCAGGTGGCCGTCATCAAAGAGGACTTGGAAGCCAAACACGAGGAGCGTACCAGTGCTGCCGAACGCGACGCAGACGAACGGGCCCGCCAAGCTGAGGAAAAGGCGAAGGCGAGGACGGAATCAATGAAAGAAAAGCTCAACGCGAAGATCAAGCAAATCCGACAGGAGCATCAGGAGGCCATCGAAAAGCTCCAAGCTGAGCATGAGACCGAGCTGGCTGAGTTGAGACAACAGCTACAAACCGCAACCGAAACCTCGACCAGGAAAGAAGACTCTGCGGCGGCGGAAACAAAGGCGGCTGTGCCCGCGATTGACGATGTGACCCATTTGACCAAGGAGCAAGTGCAGGCCATTGTGAAGGACAATGAACATGCGCAGGTCATCATTCGTAACACTGTTCGCTCGCAATTCGCCTCGAAGGAGCAAAAGATGAAGGAGGAGCACGCCAGGGAGCTGGAGGAACTTAAACAGCAGCATGCCAAAGTTGTTGAGGAGCTGGTTGCGAAAGCAGCGACTGCACCGGCAGGTATCTCACCCGAGGAACTAGAGAAACGGCTGGAGGAGGCAAAAGCAAAGGTGAAGGAGGAGCAAACAAAGATGAATCTAGCAAAGATAAGCTTGATTCAAAATCGCGCGGCGAAGCTCAAGGCCCAGGTCGATGTCGTGGCCAAAGCTGCTGAAGAGACGCCGCAGCGTCCGGTTGTGGAGGTCTGGGAAGTGGCAAAGGAGGCCAAACCGCCTGCTGCCCAACCTGCCGCTGCTCCTGCGACACCCGGTGCTACTCAACAAACTCCGACGAAACCTGGTACGCCGTCACAACCCGCACAACCCGGTCAAAATGGACAAGCACAAGCTGGGCCTCCCGCAGCGTTGGGACGACCCCATAGCCCGGGAATGCCTCAGGCCAACGGGGCGACGCCTGGTAACCTTGGCCAACCTGGAACGGCTCAGTCGCCATTTAGTCAACCGAACCCTTTTGGCCCCGGCGGCTATCCGATCCAGGGTCAGGGAATGCCTCAAAACCGTATGCAGATGCCAAATCAGATACCGCCAGCATATGGAGGTCCTAGTGGCATAATGGCGCCCGGATTCATGGGAGGACAAATGCAACCACAGCCTGGCATGCGTCCAGAATCCCCCTTCGCTCAAGGACAGCAACCGCAGATGCCTCAACAAGGCGGACGGGGTCGTGGACATGAGAATGTCGGAACTGGGCCGGCAGCACTTCGGAGCCTTGTCGGCCAGAGCCAGGCGCAGGGTGGCATACAGTCAGGCATACCACGACCTGGCGGAGGCGGAATACCGCGCCCCAGCGGTCGTGGCCAGGGCGGTCAGCAGGCTCAACCTCCAGCAGCAGCTCAAACAGCTGGTGGGGCTCAAGCTGGACGCGGAGGAGGCCGTAGCGGTCGTGGAGGACGTCAGGGTCAACAACAGGGCAATAGCCCAGGTGGAAATCTGAACCCCAATGCGCCTGGTTTCCAGCCTGGCGGCGGTCGAGGACAGAAGCGGACGCGTGAGGATGGCGGTGACGGCGATGGCCACCAGGGAGGGAAGCGTCCTCGAGGGGGACGGGGTGGAGCTTAGGTGGCCTTGATATGAGGATGAGAGTGGATTTCCGGATTTCCTTTTGTTGACTATAACTGGCGTTTACTGTGTATGCTATGGGAGGGGAACAGTGCATAGGATTGCTATGAGCGTGAGCGGGTGTCTTGGACGAGTGGGCTTGCTATTAGTGAGGCATGGATGGCATCGGACACCATGTTGGTAAATATGTATGATATATGGAGAGTTACACCAGATGCATACTCAACCTGCGAAGCAGCTCCACATGTGGGATTGATCTGTCATTCAGTCTATTTGTGCACAGTGGAGTTCGCTAGGTCCCGTAAAGATTGCTAGATCCAGGCTTGTTAGAGTCTCTCTTCACCTTCACCTTCACCTTCACCTTCACCTTCACCTTCACCTTCACCTTCACCTTCACCTTCACTTGCCAAGTCGCCTATCCCAAAACAGCCTGGCGTTATCCTGGAAAGCTGCCGCAGGGAAAGCTTAGCTCGCACCCCACAAAACAACCCCCCAACAACCTTGGAACCGCGCGGGGAGCACTCAGCCGCATTGCTGACAACCCGAGCTTCGAGACTCTCTGACTTCGCCTTGGCTAGCACTCATCGGCGTGGAAAAATGGCGCCCCGCTGTCCTCCGCCCTCCTGCAATCTTCTCCGACCTCTCCACTCTCTGCAATCCTTTTCCCTTTTCGTGCCCACGGCCCCTCGTCCCAAATGCAACCCCTACGCAGCAGATAGACTTCCGCACGGCTCCGAACGCTTTGCAGTCGCATCCCCCGAAGCACATATATATACACAGCAGAGTTAGCAGCGGGGCGGAGAAATGGCGGGACGCAGAAGTGAGACGGTAGCTGGCATACCGGTCAAGCAGTTCTCGCTGATAACCGTACGTCTCCGTTACCGTGGAGGAGAATGCTAAGAATGGCATACTGACATGTGTTTTACAGCTCACACTCCAGAACTCTGCCCTCATTCTTGTACGGATTCAAACCTCCCGCTTCTGCTATTCGCGCTCTAGGATGAACGTCTTGTGCTGAGTATACACAGGTTATGCACTACTCTCGGAGAATGCCTCCTGTCAACGGGCTGCGCTACTTTGCGTCGACTGCCGTCTTCCTCAACGAAGTCATCAAACTCCTGATCTCCCTGACTATGGCATTATGGGACGTGGCCATGCGCGTGCCAACAAACACACCAGCGACCGCCCTTTTTGAAAACCTCTTTTACGCCATATTCACGAACGAGAGCTGGAAGCTCGCGATACCGGCCGCGTTGTACACTCTTCAGAATACATTACAATATGTGGCGGTTTCCAACCTGGATGCGGCCGCGTTCCAGGTCATGTACCAGCTAAAGATCCTGACAACGGCAATCTTTAGTGTCACGATGCTTGGCAGGTCGTTGTCGTCCAGGAAATGGGTGTCGTTATTGCTGCTCGTAGTGGGTGCTTCGATCGTACAGCTTCCTGCGACACCGGCCCCGACTGGAATGAAGTCGCTGCGTGAGCCGGGCTCAGGCTTGTCATTCTTACCTCGATCGCTCGAGGAACTCAAGAAAGCGGGCAGTCATGCTGCTGGTCAATTGGTCCGGCGATCCGCGAGTTATGCGGGCATTCAGGAGGACCAAGGGATGCAACAACCGCGCATGAACAGCACTGTGGGACTCGTTGCGGTGCTCATATCCTGCGCTTTGTCGGGACTAGCCGGAGTGACGTTCGAAAAAGTGTTGAAGGAATCCAGTACCGCGAGCGCCTCGTTGTGGGTGCGCAACTGCCAGCTTTCGTTCTGGTCTCTCTTTCCGTCCCTCTTCATAGGGGTCATGTTCGTGGATGGCGAGAAGATTGCAAAAGTCGGCTTCTTCGCCGGGTATAACTGGGTTGTTTGGGCCGCCGTTCTGCTGCAAGCATTTGGTGGCGTTGTGGTCTCGTTAGTGATCAATTATGCGGACAACATTGCGAAGAATTTTGCCACATCCATCAGCATTGTACTGTCGTGTTTGGCGAGCGTGTACTTTTTTGACTTTGACATCACGAGATATGTAAGTTGGAAGCTTCCTGCTGCAACTGGGCTCGATTCGCTGATATCTGGGTAGTATCTCGTAGGCACATCCGTCGTCTTGTTCTCAACGTATCTGTACACGAAACCCGAACGAGGCTCCGCGGAACCAAGCATGGTGGCAGAGTTTGAGAAGACTGCGGTTGGTGGTAATTCTGATTATTTCTACGATGACCGGCCTTTCCGTCGGTGAGGCCTCATATCGGTTAGAAGACTCTGGCTTTTCCTTGTCCTGTGGTGCTAGAAGACGTTCCTCTCGGTTCTTGCATCGCATACGACCTTCCTATTCGTATTTCCTGGCCATATACCCTAGATTGCGAGCATTGGTGAATGATGTTATTCTTCCCCCCATCTTCCTTTTCCTGACTGTTTCATGGTCAATAGATCGGCTATGATGCAGCCATAACACGCTGAGCACTGAGAGAGGTTTACTGGCTCGTTTCCTGTGGTGAGCGGGACGTCGAGGATGCGATGCCATGCGTCCATGCCATCCGCCCATCGCACCTTCCCCCTTTGTACGGCCATATGCACCTCAATACCGACATGCTTGTCTTCACGCTCACCATCATTTCTTTCATCCTCCTTTTCATTCTCCCTTCATTTCGGTGCTCTACCTGGGAACAATCCACCAGCCATGGACGAAGAGATCTCCAACATGCTCGACGAGATGAGGGACCATGGCACCGCGCAACGACAACTCCATCCCACCACTCGGCGGCCGCCCATCAGGCTTCCTCCTCGATCTATACCTCCGCGAGATCGCTATCGGAATCATGGTGCGAAGGACGATCTTTATGATGGACCTGACGACGACGATCCGTACGGCGAAGTGTTTGGTCTGGATCAGTTCGGTAAGGACCATTCAAACAGATGGAGATATCGCTCTGACCCTTCTTAGACAATGAACTGCTTCAGCAACCGGTTCCAGATCGTCTGCAGCAGGCCGCCCTTGACCACAGACGACTGTCGCTTCACCCAAGTCGCTCTAAGTATGTCGGCACGACGTCGTTCTCGCAGGCAGACCCAACCTCCCACTACTTGCACCAGGACCAGTCCCATATTTCTGGTGGGTTTATGTGCTCGAAGAGGCGTTTGCACAGGTCACTAAGGGAGGAGCAGAGCAAGTTGAGCCACAGCTAGAACCGACACGGGATTTATGTAAGAGTTTCTGTGACGCTTGGTAACCCTCGAATGCTGACAATCCGAGCTCAATACGTCTATGTCTCACAACAACCCGATACTAGTTCTGATGCACAACTGGGGGCTTCATCTAGCCCTGCCCTCAGGGCGGGTCAACGGCGAGCTCACAAGCGCGCAAACTACATGCCTCAGACCACGACACGACTGCCTACTGCTACCTATCACACCCCGGAACCATCGCAGCTTCCGAAGATTGCTTCGTTCCAACAAGCCCCGGCACACGGCCCTCAGAGACATGCTCATGACACTCCTGTTATTCAAGGCATCCCCCTGGTCTCGACAACTGCCCTGCCTGACCGCCTACGCAGTGTCTTCACTTATCCCTTGTTTAATGCAGTGCAATCCAAGTGCATCGACCGTGTCTTCAAGAGCGACGATAACTTCGTGCTGGCTTCGCCTACCGGAAGTGGGAAGACTGCTGTTCTGGAGCTGGCAATTTGCAGAGCATTTGCGCATAACGACTCCGGCCAATACAAGATTGTCTACCAGGCGCCGATCAAGGCTCTCTGTTCCGAGCGTCAACGGGACTGGCAAAAGAAATTTAGCCCTCTCGGCTTGACATGCGTTGAACTCACAGGAGACTCTGACGCCAGCAATCTGAGGACAGTCCAAACAGCGGACATCATCGTGACCACCCCTGAGAAATGGGACAGCATTACACGGAAGTGGAAAGATCACGAGAGACTCATGAGGCTCGTCAAGCTCTTTTTGATCGACGAAGTGCACATACTGAAGGAAGACCGAGGCGCTATCCTAGAGGCAGTGGTCTCGCGTATGAAGACGATCGGGACGGATGTCCGGTTTGTGGCACTGTCTGCCACAGTCCCAAACCTGGATGATGTGGCTTCCTGGCTTGGCAAGAATCCTACGGCTCCTTATCTCCCTGCAAACAGCGAGAGGTTTGGAGAGGAATTCAGGCCTGTCAAGCTGAAGAAGCATGTGTGCGGCTATCAGTCTGGTAACCCCAACGACTTCGCTTTCGAGAGCACACTCGATTCCAAGCTTCCCGAGGTCATATCCAAGTATTCGGAACAAAAACCTATCATGGTCTTTTGTATGACCCGGAAATCAACCATGCAGACTGCAAAGATGCTGGCGGACTGGTGGTCCTCCAGTGATCCACAGCGCCGTTACTGGAAGGACCCATCGAAATCATTAGGCATCCAAGACCAAGATCTTCGCAATTGTATTGCATGTGGAGTTGCATTCCATCACGCGGGCCTTGAAAGCAAGGACAGATTCGCCATCGAAAAGGGCTTTCTGGATGGCGATATCGGTGTCATTTGCTGCACGTCAACGCTTGCAGTTGGTGTCAACCTTCCCTGCCACTTTGTCATCATCAAACACACCGTCACCTGGACCAATGGTGGGTTGCAAGAATATTCGGACCTGGAAATAATGCAAATGATTGGGCGTGCTGGAAGACCTCAATTCGACACGAGTGCTGTTGCTGTGATCATGACCCGCCAGAACAAAATTCGCCGCTACGAAACCATGGTGAGTGGTCAAGAGGTTCTGGAAAGTCGCCTGCATGTCGGTCTTGTTGAACATTTGAACGCTGAGATTGGACTTGGAACCATTTGTGATCTGGCTGCTGCTCGAAATTGGCTCTCTAAGACGTTCTTCTACGTTCGCCTACGGAAGAATCCGAGTTACTACAAACTCGAGGGTGCAAGGAGCGGTCAGCATATCGACGAACAGCTCGATGACATTTGCCTACGGGATCTATCGCTACTACAGGAGGCCAATCTAGTGGAGGGCGACAGGCGCTTCAGATGTACCCAGTTTGGAGAAGCCATGGCGAGATATTACGTCAAGTTTGAGACGATGCAGATCATTATAGGCCTTCCCCCCAAAGCTCAGATATCAGAGATCGTGAGTTTTCGAGACTCCCTTCGCTTGAACACCTGACACTCATCTGACGCAGTTGTCCGCACTATCTCAAGCGGCGGAGTTCAAGGACATCAGATTTCGTGCCGGAGAGAAGGCTCTCTATAGGACGCTGAACACTTCCCCCTCGATTCGGTTTCCTATCCCTGTGAGCCTCGATCTGCCCGCCCACAAGGTCTCCCTTATCATCCAGTCTGTGCTTGGAAGTGCCGAAATTGCGTGGGAGAAAGATGCACAAAAGATCAAGGGACAGTATCACAATGAGGTATTTGCGGTGTTTAGACATGTCCATCGGTTGATACGATGCATTGCTGATTGCCAAATTGGTGTAGGGGATTCCGTGGCACTGTTGCATGCTTTGTTGATTCAACGCAGTCTCAGAGCGCAAGCATGGGATGACGGTCCCTTACATATGCGACAACTTGAGGGCATTGGTGTTGTTGCCGTGAGGAAATTGGTCAATGCTGGGATCCGAAGCATCGAGGACCTGGAATACACTTATGCTCATCGAATTGAGATGATCCTCGGCCGAAACCCTCCGTTTGGTTTGAAGCTCCTTGAAAAAGTCAAACTCTTCCCCAAACCACGCGTTTCGGTTCAGGTTCTGCCTAAGACGGTAAGTGGCTCCACTCAAAGTAGGTACAAGTGTTGACGGCAGCAGATGCAAAGGACCAATGACGGAGTGAAAATCCAGCTCAAGATCGAAGTGGGCCTCATGAATGAGAAGCCACTCGTGTCATGGCAGAAGCAACCCGTATATATCTGCTGTCTTGCGGAGACCTCGGATGGAAGCATGCTTCATTTTGCCCGGATCAGGTACGCTCACGATTTCGTTGCATGATCGTCACTCATGATAGATAGTGCACAGAAGTTGGGAAAGGGTCAAGATCTCGTCATCCCAGCCGTTGTAACCTCCCCAGACCAATCGATCAACTGCTATGTGATGTGCGACGAGATAGGTACGTCGACGAATTGAGATACTGCAGACCTGGGGAGTCCCCACTGACGGTTTTGCAGCGGGAACAATGCGGGAAGCGTCTGTCAAGCCGCGAATTGCACCAACCATGTTTCCTGCCTCAAAGTCGGTTGATCCTACGCCTGTACTTGTGCCCATTGAACGACCGACATCCAACACGTCGAAGCGCAGAACAGAGGTCGCCGGAGTGTCACGGAAGTCCAGCGATGAATTTGATGATGGAAGCTTAGACGACGATGATCTTATACGCGCATCATTTGCAGACCTTGACTTTGAGCACATAGAGAATTATGCGAATCCGAACGATTCGCTCACGAAAAAGAACACGGCTAAGAACACATTCAAGGGCGCCAGCAACAAGCCAGCTCGAAAAGCCTCGACAGGAGAGGACGATTACCAACCCATACAACTTGAGAATGGAAAGTGGACGTGCAGGCACAAATGTGGCGACAAAACCGCCTGCAGGCACTTGTGTTGCCGTGAGGGCGTAGATCGACCACATGCAGCCAGGAACAGAGTCCAGAAGACTACAGTGGCGACTGAGCCGGCACCTCCTTCGAGCTCAAAGAGAGGACCTACGCAGACTAAGCTGCAACTCACAGCATCCAAAAGGAAGGCTTCGTCGGATATACAGACGCTTGATCTGACCCAGCCAGAGAAAAAGCAAAAGTCGCATTCGCTAACAAAACCGCCAAGGGATATCCGTAATCTCAACGAGCTTCACAAGAAGGTTCTCCCGAAGGATCCACCAGCCTCTCTATCTGCGATCACACATACGAAGCCTGCTTACTGCTATGTCGCTGGAGGTGAGCACGACTTGTCCTTTCTCGGCACTGGTTCTGTGGTAGGGCGTGGAGAAACGGTGACTTCCACTGACTATGGCGACTTGAGTGATGATCTTCCCACATATGATCAAGGGGCAGTGTCTGAAGAAGTGGACATCGGTCAACGCACGGCTACACAGGCACACAATGCAATCGACGGTTCACCTGGCCAACTCCGTCTTGATCAATCTGGGGATACATTTGAGGATGGAAATTCCCTGTTTGATGACATTGTGACGGATCTACCCGAATACTCTGCGGCTGCTGCTACGACTGGTAATCACCATGACGCGTTGGACGACGAGATGGATGCGGGGTTCGGGGACTACATGTCCTTCGATGACGGTATCAATGGCCCTGGCGCCTCGGAGACTGTGGCCCAGGAGAAACCTGCGACGGTGGCAGAACCACAAGTGGCGTCTTCCTCGGCAGTCAAGATTGACACGAGCGTCACCGTTTCCCCTTTCTTCACCGCAAGTAGTTTTCCCAGCAGCTTTGAGGAGGCGAGCGCGGGAACTGAAGGGCCGTCGTTGAATGGGCCGGCGCATCCTTCAATGTCGGCCAGGAAGACGAGGCAGTGTCGGAGCGAGAAGAGCCCGTCGGAAAATGAGAAGGGAGAGGCGAAAGTCGAGGGCGCACAAGTGACCACGACGCAGCCGCGCGGGAACGAGGATGCGGTTGAGCCACAGAGCGACATGAAGCCGGAGGATGATGGTATCGCTAAGCGGGGGAACAGCCCGGATCCCAGGCTCCAAGGGTTGGAGCCGTGGCTGCTGGAGGAGTTTGGAGATATTATTGAGGTGGTGGATGATCTGTGACGTGGGACATTATCGATTTAGTGTCCGTGTACGGAGAGCGGATTTCGGACAAGTCAAATATCATGGAGGCAGATTGGGTGATGGTTGTCGTGTGTGGTGGCTGAGAGATGGCGAGCCCAGTGTCGCTGGGTTGATGGACATGTATGTATGTGGGAGTGGGAGCATGTCAAGAGGATAAGATGTAGTGATTGGAGAAGCTATATGAATTTCGGTGTGTCTGCGACTCGCCTGCATTTCAATAAACTTTGGCTATAATGAGCCGCTCAGGAGAGACTGGTCTTTGAACTCCTTGCTTGTATTCTTTACTCAAGAAGATGATGACTTGGAGCGGGATTGGGGCCCGAAGAGGAGGAGCATATTGATGCTTATGGGGAAGAAAAAAAACACTTCAAAGCTACGGATATGGATATATGGATATCAGTACTCCCGCCAACCGCCTCCCGCCAAGACCTCACTCATCCAGCAAAAGAAGCAGAAGTAAACTTCTAATCAATCTTCGCATTCGCCAGGCTCCTCCCCATCGTCGGATTCGTAAGGACATTGCTCAACCTTAGGTTCTTGCGCTTGTACTTGCTGTGCTTGCGCAGGCGCTTGCGGGCGACCATGACGGGCACGGAGCTCTTGGTGACGAGGTAGTTGGAGAAGCTCCCCAGGAGGACGCCCTTGAGGGCGCTGCGGCCGCGGGAGCCGAGGATGACGAGCGTGGGCTCGAGGAAGTCGATCTAGCATCGTCGAAGTCAGCAATTTTGCTCGCTCGCCAAAAGAAGAAGCGGCGAGTGTGAAGGGATGAGAGAGGAGATACTCACCACCTCGGTAATCATATGCTTGGGACTCTTGCAATGAAACACCTCGACCACGACGCGGACCTGCAACCTCGTCCGCCTCAGCAGCTTCACACACCGATCGCTCACCTCGACACACGCCGTGTACCGCTCCTTCTCCGCCTTGCCCATCGTCTCCGGGTTCGACTCGGACGCCCTCACCGTGTTGAAATCCGGGCCCGGCGGCGCGAGCCCGCCCGATCTCGACATCTGCTGCGAATTCGACAGCGTCTTGATCAGCGAGTCCGACTCCTGCTGCGCCGTGGGTGTCCCGGCCGCCGCCGCGCCAGCGGGGGTTGTCTTGTCGTCGCCGGCACCAACCGTCTCCTCGTCGACGGCATACACTGCGAGCAGCGTGTCGCCATCCCTCAGCACGGTTCCGATCGTCCACTCAAGCGCATACGCCGCCTCCTCGCTCAAATCCGTCGCCACGAGGTACACCCTCTGCCTCCGCAGGCCCTTCTCCGCATCCTCCTGGAATTTTGCGTAGTTGCCTCGCAGGATCTGGCGGACGCACCGGTGCGCCTCGGGGATGGACTGGATGGGAGAGATGTTCATGGCGAGTTGCTGGGCGGCCTTCATCTCCGATAGATCGGCCTCGGTGTCGGAGCTGAAGGGTGTGGACAGGCCGGACCCGCTATCGTAACTGGTGTGGGGTTGGATCCGGCCTTTCTTCTTTGCGCTCACCTTCTCACCGCCTGGACCTGTCACTGTCAATTCGGGTTCCAGCAGTGATCGCACTTTGTAGCTGGACGAGACGTCCTGGCCTGTGAAGTGCATTAGTATCCGTCCCGCCTCCATTCAGACGACATAACTCACGCTCAGCCTCTGCAGCTGCCAACAAGCTCTTCGGTGTCTTCTTCTCAGCCCCGTGCTTCCCCTCAACATCATCCTGCCGCGTGCGTCTCCTACCTCTACGCTTCCTTCCTCCCCAGCCCTCGCCATCCGAGGATCCACTAGAGTCGTCGTCGTCGTCATCATCCTCGCTCGATTCGACGGCCCGGTCGTCGCCGGGATACTCGTCCGTGGTCAAACGAACACCTCCGCCAGGGGCCTCTTCCACGCCCTTGGCAGGATCGGATCCTTTCCGGATAGGAAGTGTAGATAACGTCCCTCCCGAGCGCAGCATTGCACCGTCCGAGAGCCTCCGATAGGCACTATTCAAATCAACCACCTGTCCAGAGTCGGTGACGTATTGGGTGGGGTTGGACATCAGATTCAGGGAATTGGTGTTCAGCATCTGGCCTGCGGGGGACTGAGACCTACTCGGCCCGGGCGATGCTTGCTTAGGTTTGCCCAAGAGCCCTCCAAAGGTGCTGTGGCGGTCACGATCCCTCGTGGTACCGAGAATATCGGACGACTTGCCATATACCGAGGACATGGCGCGCGGGTCCTTCTTGTCCTTCTTCTTCCCCCCCTGCGTGACCCTCTTGGGCATGGAATGCGCCTCGATGGTAGGCATCATCTGGAACTGGTATTGTGCTTCGGGGTTCAGACTGCGACCCGTTGGGGGCGCTGATGAGCGCGTAGGGTCACGGCTGGAGGGGCGATGGGGCGAGGTGGGCGAAAGCATGCTGCCATAGCTCACGGGTTGACGAGGCGAGGAAGGGTTGTCGCCGACGTCGAGCATGCTGCGGATGGGACTAACAGCAACAGCAGGGCTCTGGGCGCGGCCGCTTGCGTGTGGACTCGTAGCTCGTTGGGCTGGTGCAGCGGTCCTGCCTTCCAGCAGCCGCATCACCTCCCTGCGCTCCTCATCGAGGGCGGATTCGAGAGACATGGCTGGAGATGGGTGGTGGATAGCTGGGCGATGGCAGGAAGCAACGAGTATGTATGGCTGCCCTTGGGGCAAAGGCGTGAGTACTGCTTGTGTCCCGTGTGTACGTGGTTGCGGAGGGAGTGGGGTCGCGCGGGTCCCCCAGAAGAGGTGAGTTTGTATGTGCGAATGGAGCGGTTCCTTTGATAGCAGTGGTGGAAAACGCGGATCGCGGGCTCGGGATAGCGCAGAAGAAGAAGGCAATTGATAGTGATGGAATTGGTGAAGAGCAAAAGCAGTAGTGAAAGGAGTGGGGGGGTTGGTGGTGTGGTATGGGAGAGCTTGGGGGCACTCTGTCTGTTGGAGAGGGCCTGGCAGGTGGAGCGGACAGACGTGCCTGGGTTAGCCGCTGTCGAAGAACAGAGGGTTCCCGAGGTCGAGGAAGGAGAGAATGGACGACATGGGAAAGATATTCTGTTTTAATGGAGCAAAGAAAGAGGCGGAGCGGGTCTCAAGGGTAGGTAGGCTATTTAAGTCAGGCCAGCGATGGTGGGGGGGAATGGTGCTCTGGTGATGCAGCGGGTGGTCCCAGGTCAAGGTGGAGGGCAAACTAATTCTCGGCGCGCTTGGCGAGTGAGTTGGGCCAACAGCCACACGGAGCCACACGTGAGTGTTTCTCTCTTTAGGCGGCATGACACTCGGGGGCAATGGGACGGATCGAGTTACAACGGCAAGGCCATGTTTCACTCAGCGTTCTTTGGGGCAAGTCAAGTTCTGTGTGGTGTCTCAAAATGGTGACGTGATGTGATCTTCAATGTTCAGCCTCAGGGACCACAAGCTGGAGCGCTTGCCCCTGTCACATGACAGTCTACTTGGATAGTAGAGCCGCACTGTCTAAATAAACCACTGCTCCAGCACCGCCAATAGTCGATTCGCATACTGGTGCCCAAAACACGAAGTATGCCAAATCTCATGTCCAAAATGCCATATACACAGTAATGTACAAGTGCCATTCCTTTTCCCACCAAATATGCTCCTCTCTACCGCTTCCTGGGTATGACGACGTTGGCTCGAGCAGCCACGGCCTGCTTGTGAATTGCGTTCCTCCTCTCCCACACTGCGCTCCTGCCCTCGACCACGCTGATCAGCTCCTCGGCAACCTTGTGCGCGAAGAGCCCCTTTCCGCTTCCCTTGTTCCTTCTCCTCGACGCCGCCGTGAGGATCCATTGCACTGCTGTACGCCGCCGCTGCCTCTTCCCAAGCGGAACTGGAATCGGCAACGCCATGCCACCACCCGCTGCTCCCTTCATGTTTCGGATCCGGAGGAGGGGCGCGACCGAGTCAATCGCCAGAGTGAGGTAGAGGACGGGATTGAGAGGCAGGTGGGATGGCGGAGGAGCTCCGGGGAGAAGGGGACGGCTGGGATTGATGGTTGGTATGGGAGAGGTTCGGAGGTGTTGGAGGATCAGAGCCATGTTCTGTTAACTCTGTGAGCCTTTGTCATTCCCTTGTAGAAGGTCGGAGCATCCATACCCGCTGAGCAACGCTCTTTTCGCCATGTCGCATGAGCAGGTTCGTCACCTGGTCCACGACAGGGTCATAGCGATGCTTTACGTGCGATCCTTGGGGAAGTGGCAGTGACGGCAGCCCAAACTTCGTGCCGGGGACATCTGTGGCCGTGGGCGGCGGGGAGAAATCCACAATGCCCAAGTCGCCCCCCGTCCTAGACACTGTCGTAGTGGAGTAGGATCGTGACCCTGGTGGCGTCGAATTCGACGACTTCGCCTTGAGCGCGTCTTGCATGACTTTCGGGAGCTTGTCCTGCAGTGCCTTGTCGTGCTTGACCACCTACACACCGGTGAGTTTGCCGACTTCCCCATGCTGCCGTGGTAGACGACTGACCTCCTCCACGGGTGTACCCTGTTCCAGATCGGGTTCCTGCTCTCCCTTGATTTTCGCCGTCCTCGCAGCCTCTTCACTTATGTGTGGCAGCGCGTCCGTCGAATCTTTGGAGGTGGAAAATGGGCGGATCGGTGTCGGCGCAGCGCGCACGAAGGGTTGCGCTATCCATTGCGACTGCGCCCTGGGCCGCAAGGGAAGCGATCTCGCAAATGAGACGACGCTTAATCGTGGAGGCATGGTGGGATGTGGAAGGACTCGTGAGAGCAGAAAGTGATGATAGGGTGCAGCTGTCGATGCTTCACAATTGAACACGCTAAACCCAGTTGGGAAAGAACTATCTGTACTAGCGATTGCCGCAGACAGGCTACACAAGCACAGTATACGTCTCTATTCCCGTCGAAACCCAAAACACGACACAACAGGAGTTCCGCAATACCTTGATATTCTCCTTATACACTTGTACATCCAAGCAATAGAACTCCAACTCAACAGGCCATCGATCGTTTGCGGAATTTTTCGCCTCAAAAGCACCAGTATCACCCCGCTACCCCTTCACGCCCGCGTCGGATGAGGACCATCTCGAATGTGCACTGGAACATCTAACTTAGCATTAATCCCTTATCAGAATCGAAGTTTACAAGACAGCAGTTTCTACACACCTTTCCTTATGTTCGCATTTTCCAACCACTGCTTCACCTCCTGAAGATTGGCAAGCAGCTCCATACTCCGCGCCCGAGCCTGAGAGAGTGCATCCTCCTCTGCTCGCTCTTGCTTGATTACAGGCGATGGCTCCTCTGCATGTGCAATTGACGTCGATATTCTTGCTCTCTTCGCTGATTTCTTCCCTAGCCGCCTTCTCTGTTGCGCGCCATTTCTCTCCGGGCTTGACGAGTGCTCCGCGCAACCACAGCTGGGGGACCGCTTCCTTTTCGTTTGCGAGTTGGGTTTCTGACGGGTCCTGTTCAATCCAGCCGACCTCTGCGGGTTCATCGAAGCTGCACGAGTTTGTCTGAGAGGCAGACCCTTCGATAATTGATCGACCGTTTCGGAGTCATTGTCACTTTCTGAAGGCCTTGATGTCTGTCTCGCAAGTTTGACGCGTTTTAGGCGATGCTCGTCTTCCAGTTCATCTTCTGAGTCCGTTTCAGAGCTGTCCGGCTGGTACTCATCTGAATCGCTGTCCGAGGTCACAGAGGCGTCGCCCAGTGCGTTGTTGCGCCTCTTGCGAGAGATGGAGATTTCGAATCGGTGACCGTCAAAGGCCACCTCTTTGACGACGCGCAAGTTGGTCCTTCTAGTCCGCATGGGCGCTGTGTGTGGGACCTTGGTCTACTTCGGATGCTTCGCTTTGGCATTTTGATATGCCTGCTCTTCTTTGAGGACTCCGGAAACCATGAATTGCTTGTTGGATCTGGGGGCAAACGGGCGTCATGTTCAAACTCTTTGCAATCGGAACAGTCTCGGACAGAGAAGGCCAATTAAACAAACTCCTCCGGTCAGCGGTCAGAACATCTCTCGGACAAGGGCCAGTGCTATTGAGCAAGCAGGCTCAAGCCAGCAACATCTGGAAACCAGACAACGACACATGCATATGTTCTGACCCTCCGCGCCACACACGATGCGCGGTTGCTAGAGCGGTTCCAGTTTCTCACCGGAAACCTTACCCTCGGTCTCAGATTCAATTGCTGTACATTGTATTGCCGCCCAGTTCACTACTGGGTAGCTGAAGTGCGACCAAGCACGGCCTTGGACCATACCAATATGTCTCGCTGATGGAACAAACCAGACAAGGCTCCGGAGGGGATGGGATTTGGTCAGCAGCAGATCTGATTGGCATTCACAAAGGAGCGGTGTCGCACACAAAGGCCCAAAATCTGGCCGGCACATCACAGGCTCTAGGCGACGTATGACTCAGTGGCAAAAGGATGACGATAAAAAGGAATGAAGACAGCATTGACAAGTCCCCATCCTGTTTGTTCCTTCTGGCAATCCAACATGTCCTCACCGTATCGGAGCTGCAGCTGAGACAAGACGGAAAATACAAAGTCGTGGGGCAATCACCTCAGGAAGCTCATTTCACCTTCACGCTCTCCTCAGACCAATTGACCACATCCCTCTTTTTCTTTCCGTCCTGGACCTGAACAGACGGTAGATACAGTTGAGTTATCCGTCTTTACTTTCTTCTCCCCCGCGTTCCAAGGTTGCTGGCCCCACCGACTAGTCTCAAGCCGGAACCTGGAACGCGCTATCCCTGTACTCACGTGATCACCCGTTGCCGCGATCCACTCCACGGCGCGCCCCCCGCGTTGCTGAGACGACGTGCCTTGCCTGAGGCATCTGCTATTTCTCCCGTCTTCCTCCACCTTTCGTTTTCTGTTCCTTGTCATTCTTGTGGTTTTTCGTCATTGCAATTGACAATCGCTTGTCCTGCTCTCTCTCGCATCTTGCTTTGTCTGCTAGTGCTTTGCTAGCTGTCTGTTCGGGTTCGTGCATGACATACTTATTCGGTGCCATAGATCATCAATATTCCAACACCAACCGGAGACGGGAAGGTTTGATCTGTTCGGATTGCCTTGCCTACAGTCGCTTATCACAAGTCACCTCCAGGTAGGCTTCTAGTTCCTTCATTTTCTCCTTGACTCTTTCATCCCACCCTCTCAGGGGCAGCCTTGCCCTCGTTATCGTTGGCCGGTCTCGCTATTCAGTGTGCACTTCCGCACAAGTCACTCTGTATCGAGAGGATTCGTTGAAGACACTGTCTGACCCCTTATAAGGAGTAATGGCTGATAATCGCGGCCGTGGAAGAGGGCGTGGCGGGTTCGACAGGGGAGGAAGAGGAGGTGGTGATAGGGGTGGACGAGGTGGAGGGTTTGATAGAGGCGGAAGAGGTGGGGGGTTTGACAGAGGCGGAAGAGGAGGTGGCCGGGGAGACTTCAGCGACAGAGGTAGGGGCGGCTTCCGCGGTGGAAGAGGTGGCCACGCCGTTGATCCATCTAAGTTTTTCGGGTATGTTGCTGGATCGCCTGGGCCAGAATCGAACAACTGCTTACTTCACAGGGATGGAAACTATCCCCAGCCGGATCCTCAGGTTACCAAGGTCGAAGATGAAACGGTTTCGAGCATTACAACGGCACTCGCGAAGACATCGCTCGATGATCGACTGCCTTCCCGGCCGGGTTATGGCACCAGTGGCAGGCATACCGTCATGTGGGCGAATTACTTCCACATCAAGCTCACCGACCCCGACGTCGCCTATTATGACTATAGCGTGGCAATTCAGGAGGACAATCAGCTGCCAAAGGCGAAAAAGAAGCGCCTCATCCAACTGCTTCTTCAGCGCGAGCCCTTCGCTGGACAAGACTGTGCTACGGATTGGGCTCAGCGGATTATAACACCCAAGAAACTGGCGCTCAAAGGCCAGCAGCAGGCATTCAAGGTTGAATGGTATCCTGCTGGCGGCGAGCCTCTGCCGCAAGCTTCGCCTGGAGAGTCACCGCAGCGCACTGCCCTGCGGAGGAGGAGTACCTTCACTCTGCTTGTCGAGGAGCAACGCACAGTCTCCCTGTCTGAATTGCAAAAAGATCTTTCACAGCCATCGGTAACGTATCCGTTGAAGGCCGAGATAATCTCTGCAGCCAACATCATCATGACATTTGGGGCATCGAGCGACCCAACCATCTCCGTCGCCAATCAAAACAAACTCTTTCCCTTTGGCAGTCACCCCAAGTCCGTGCTCCAAAACTTGGGTGGTGGGTTCGACGCTTATAGGGGATACTTCTGCAGCGTGCGTACCGGTCCAAACCGCCTCATTTTGAACGTCAATGTGGCGACATCAGCGTTCTACAAGGGCGGCCCTTTGATGGGTATGCTGAGAGAGATCGGTTGGCCCCCGTCGAATGGCACTGTTTGGAAAAAGGTGAACAACTTCGTCAAAAAGCTTCGAGTGGAGACGAATTATCTCCCCGCAAAGGGGGCAGCAGGCAAGGCAAAGGCTGGAGGGACGAGGCGCAGACAGCACGTGATTACCAATCTTTCCCCCTTTGGAGCCAATGCCGAAACAGTGAAGTTCACCGCTGATGACGGCAAAGAAATCTCCGTCCGTGAGCATTTCAGAAAAACTTATAACATTCAGTTGCAAGATCCTCGGGCCCCGCTGATCAACTACGGGACCGATGACAAGAAACCAAAGTGGATTCCTGCGGAGCTCTGCACTGTCCTCCCAGGCCAACCGGCGAGGCGAATGCTGTTTGGGGACCAAACTGCAAAATTGATCACATTCGCTGCACGTCGGCCGATCGAAAACGCAGAATCCATTGCCAAAGATGGCCTCGCCGTTCCGAAGCTAATGGGTGTCGACACCCACTTGAAAAAGTTTGGTCTCCAGGTGGATCCGAAGCTGATCACCGTTAAAGCTCGCATTCTCTCCCCCCCAACTTTGCACTATCGGACGAAAACCCTGGACCCGAGCAATGGAGCCTGGAACCTGGATACTCGCCAGCTTGGGCAAAAACCCTTTATGCGTGCCGTGTCATTGCCATCATGGCAATGTCTAATCATCGATTCTGGAAATTACGAGACCATCAGAGGTGGGCCTGCTGCGGCGAAGGCTCTCCTGCAACAGTTCAGGGCCTGCCTGGACACCTATGGGATGGCACCAGGACCGGTTCCAGAGCCTGCGTATGTTAACATCGCTCCAGCGGAGGTTATCTCTCGCAATGCCGAAGCCATCCAAAGCAAGATCCTGGCCGCTCTGAAAGCGACATACAAGCGAGATCCTAATTTCCTGTGGATTCTGCTTCCCAACACCGAAGCCTTTGTTTATGATCTGATCAAGTACACATTCGATGTTGAGAAAGGAATTCCCACCCTGTGCAGTATTGGACAGAAGGCAGCAAAAGGCCAAATACAATATCTTGCCAATCTAGCTTTGAAGATCAACACGAAACTGGGAGGAGTCAACCACTCGCTCAAGCTGGAGCAGTTCAAGCCGCTGGACGCATCGACCATCGTGTTCGGTATCGATGTCACGCATCCCTCACCAGGGAGTCATGAGAAGTCGCCGAGCATTGCAGGAGTCGTTGCCAGCACCGACGCCACATTCTCGCAGTATCCCGGCAGTGTCCGAACGCAGAAAGGCAGAGAGGAGATGGTACTGGGCCTCCAAGAGATGATCAAGGAGCGTATCGAGCTCTGGCGGCAGCGCAACCAGGGCCGCCTCCCGAAAAAGGTCGTCATTTACCGCGACGGTGTATCCGAAGGGCAATACAATCTTGTGCTCGAGCAGGAGTATCCTGCCTTCGTCGCAGCGTTCAAGGAACTCTACGGAGCTGAGAAGAATCACCCCAGGGTGGCCATCATCGTCGTTGGGAAACGTCACCACACTCGGTTCTATCCAACGAAGATGGAGGATTCGGACAAGAAGACGGGCAATGTGCAGCCCGGGACCGTTGTCGACAGTGGTGTTACAGGCGAGAAGATGTTTGACTTCTTCCTCGTTGCACATCAGGGCTTGCAGGGCACGTCGAAACCCGCGCACTATGTCATCATCAAGGATGAAATCAAATTCGGTGCAGATGAGCTCCAGAAAATGGTAAGTTTGGCACGTTTCCTGCCTATGGGATGAAAGGTTTGTCTCGCTCACTGCTCCCCCAGACGAATAATTTCTGCCACACGTTTGCGCGCGCCACGCGAGCCGTCAGTCTGTGCCCGCCGGCGTACTATGCGGATTTGATCTGCGAGCGGGGCCGATGCTACTTGCATAATATTCTAAAGGGAGGGGATGCCTCTGTGGAGTTTAACCCTAAGGCCCACTGGTCGGGCGGAGTGAATGAGGCGCTCAAGAACACCATGTTCTACCTCTGAGGATTACGCATGTCGCCTCGATCTAGCATTGATAGAGCCGAAGGAGTCTGTGGCAGTGGGTTTCGAGCTGGATGAAGAGCCAGTAGCGACTGATATAGCACCATGTCAAGGAGACGGAATTGGGATAGATAGTATACACTCGCTTGGGCTGATGGGGAATAACCTGCGATGGTGAAATATGCTCTTCTTGAATCCAAAACATCTTGATATCATCATTAGCATCTGTCCACTGAGATATTAATAATACATCATTAATGCTCTGTATACGTACCTGGTGCAAGTGCTGAGCTGTACTATTTAAGTGACAGGGATGCCAGCCATTCCTTTATCGATAGCCAACCACGCGACGTGCACGTTTGCCATCTCCCAGCCTCCGCGTTTCACCCCCGCGCGCCCGCGCCCTCGCCCTCTCTCTGGTCCGACGTGTTTGCTGGTCGCCACCGAGTCGTCCCATGGCGCTTCCGACGAGCTTCTTCGTCGCTGTCGACTTGCGCGCGCCGTGGGCCGACCTTCACTTCTCCTCCTACTACCACCATTGCCGGATTCGCGCTCAGTCACTCGCGGCTGCCAGTCAGGCACCAATGTCAATGTCTCGCAGGGCTGGCCCACCACCACATCACAAGCTACCTCCCACCTGCCGACCCTTTCTGCGACCCTCCCCTCCCTCCCCTGCGGTACCACTCCTAATCCACCCTTGGACTGGTTGAACCTCAATTCCCTCCACTTCAACCTCTCTCCCACACCCGACACGATCCCCTCCGCCTCCCAAGCCGAATCGACGCACCCACCAACACCCTCGCGCCAACTTGGTATGCGGAGACCCATGGACCGCAGCAGCCTCTACGAAAGCGACGTCCCCTCGCTCAGCGCCTCGCTGGAAGCCTTCGAACACGCCGAGCGCGGCACCCATTCGACCTTTGGCAACCGATCCGCCATGCAATCCTCGTCGCGCTGGAGCGCCCAAGACGCTTCCGAATCCTCTGAACCAGAGAGCGACGGGCCCTGGGCGCCGCCCGCCTGGCAGCGCTCTTCGACCACAAATGACTGGTACCGCAAATCCCTCCTGAGTGAAAGCGCGACGTTGCGCTCGAGCCACAGCCCTTCAAAGCCGGCGGGCATCGCGTCGTCGCGCTTCAACCCCAGACCCGTCGACCGCGAGATTACGCCCTCGCGCATACCTTTGCCCGAATCTCCGCTAAAGATGACACCTAGGACAAGCCCCGACCCCGTCATTGGGGAGCAAGAGACGAGAGACACCATCGCCGAGAGGATGCAGAGCCCACCGTGGGAGGAGAAGGAGCAGGCGGGTGTTGGGCCCGATGAGGGTGACGAGGGTGAGGAGATGATGTTGTCGCATCATGAAGATGCGGGAGCGCACAGCGAGGACCACGCGCGCCCTGGATGTATGCGCCCTTTGAGGGTTATCATTGGGTTCTACATGCGCTAACACATCTAGATGTCAACTTCTCGGTCCGCGCAGAGACGCTGTTCCGCACCGGGCCACTCGAGGACCTGGTCTCTGCGGGCGCGCGAGCTCTCAACCTGTTTACGCAATCGCGACTGAGCATACTATGCACCATCGGCACCATCATCCTCGCCTACGTCCTCACGCTCCAGTGGACAGACAGTCTGATACCCGACATAGCCAACGTGGCCAACATGGCGAGGCAGTTCGAGCCGCTCATGTTCGCCTCCGAGAACGTGATACCGCGCTCGCGCGAGCTGGCCGATGCGAGCATCGCGGTACAAGACTTGGGGGAGAGCGTCAGGGCGACGAACATGTCTGCGTCTACCATCATCATCGAGCAGCTGACCGATCTAGGAGACAGCTTGTCGCTGCTATCCGACCAGCTGCGCAGTTTCTTCACCAACGTGGACGCCGACATGGACTCGTAAGACAGTCCTCGTTTCACTGGATTCTTCGCTAACGTTTTCCTCAGCATCCTCCTCGCCATGGAATGGACCAAGCGCGAACTCGAAACCCTCCAAGGCCCCTCCCCCTCGCTCATCGACAACTTCATCGGCAACCTGCACGGCGCCCTCTCCAAAACTGGGCTGCTGGAAGATGGCAACGGCCAAACGACGGCCGTAGGCAGGCTCGTGACGGACATGGTGGGGCAGACGACGCAGCAGCGCAACCGGGCGACACTGCAGCGCACCTTTGACTACCTGCTCTCGACGCTGGAAGAAAACATCACCAACGAGCTCAGCCGGGCGGATTCGCTCTACGCGCTCTTCGAGACGGTGGACCGGCAATTCCAGAACCTGCACCGCAGCGTGGCCAAGGAGGAGGACAGCCTGTCGTCGCGCAAGGACGAGTTCCTGGCGCGCATGTGGCGGCAGAGCATCAAGAACAAGATGCAAATCAAGAAGTACGAGAAGAACCTCAAGCTGCTGAAGACGGTGCGGGCGTCGACGCTGGAGAACAAGAGCGAGCTCAAGGCGCACGTGCAGGTGATCAACTCCGTGAAAGATCAGCTGGATAAGGCGCGCAAGAATCTGATTTCGCCCCTGATCCGCAGGGCGCAGAGTAGTGGGTACGGGGTGGAGCAGCAGCTGGTGGAGCTGCAGGGGACGTATCGGGCGCTGAGGGGGGTGCGGGAGGGGCAGAAGATGAGGGTCTATCAGGCCATGTTCCGGGTGGAGCCGCGGAGGCGGGTGGTGACGATTGGGGAGGAGGAGGGGGAAGGGGAGTAGGGGAAGGAAGAGGCGCATCATGAAGAAGGATAAGAGGAGGAGGAGGAGGAAGAGGAGGAGGAAATGATTCGCATATCATCACAGCACACGCGGTATTCTTTGAGCTTCTCGGCGACTGGCGACTGGCGATTGGCGACTTATGGATAGACAAAGGGTGGGTGGGTGCAAGGTGTTGGCGATGGAGTCGGTCACACTCTCGCCTTCTTCGAACGGCATCGCATTCGCCTCGCTGGTGTTTGGCATCGTGCTGCCGCGTCTTTTCCAGGCACTGTTGTACGGTCTCTGAACTGGGGGCTTGTCAGGCTCACTGCTTCTTACCGCAGTAGAGTCGATGCTGTGTTGGGTGTTGGGCGTTCCTTGAGGACCTTGGCAGAAATTTCCGGTGTTATAGGGGTATGGGGGTATGAGGGTGATGGGGGCTGTGCTTCCTAAACAGGCGTTTCCTTGGTGATCTCTGGGGTTCTTGGTGATCTTGGGTTCTTGGTGATTATTTTACGCAGTACGCTCCTATCCTCACAATACCAATGATGATTACATTACTAGTTATGGATTCATCTTACATGTGATATGGCAGGTATGTGCAATCTCAGCCGTCTGTACTACAGTACATAGAGGGTACCAGAGTAAGCGTACCTAGATATACATTACACCAATTGATATCAATGTGTGTCAGCATCGGCTGGTTGACGTCAGCTAGATGTAAATGCGAAATGGTCTACCGAGTATCTCAGGGTTGTGGAGGAAAGGTGCGGAGCTTGAGGAGTAGAGTGGCTGGGAGATGTGGTGGGGGTCATGTGATGTGTGTATTCACTCCTTGCTTTTGGTGTTTGTAGAGAATGTAGACGGGTAATGACAAACCTGCTTTCTTCTTTGAGATATGGAAATACACCGACATGCAGGATTGAGTGACGGGAGGTTGGGGAATTCACTCTTGGCAGATGTCCGAAGGGGATAACGATGGATGGTGGCTGGGCATCGCGGGGGCTGTGCAACTGCTATGTCAGGGCCAGGGCCGGGATCCACCCAACCCCAGGATTCCCGCAATTCGTTGCATCATCGTTCCGTTGCTGCTGCGCCTTCGCCTGTCCCCTTCCCCCTCACTTCCTTACCCACACTTTGCACACACCATCACTGTATCACAGTATAGCTTGCACCGCATCAATACTTGTCCCTTGCACAATTCCTCCTCCGTCTGTCTATTCATTTCGACACCCAATTGCCCACTCTCCTTCTGTCTCGGCGCGTGTCCTGCCGTACCTCTCCGGCTTCAACGAGACCTGTCTGCGCAGAGCTCCCTCCTTTGATTCACCTTCGGAAAGGTAGTCTACTTGAATCCAGCCGCCGTTCCAGCGTCGCCCGTGAGACTTCGCGACTCTCCGGGTTCGGATCGATATGAGTGAGTGCACACATTGTTTCCTTTCCCTTTGTCTCATCAATCCCCCCCATATCACACACAGCCTGAGTACGGAGTACTTGTATCCGCGTCTGTACTTGGCTGTCCAAAGCTTGTCACATCCGCCGTCTCGGTACACGTCCATCTCCCCATCATCGTCGGGGCGCAGCCACCTAGGTGATGCTTGGCTAACCTCGCAACCCCCTTCGCTGTAGAAAACATCAAGCGCGAGTTCCACCGTCTCGGTCGCTCAGGAAGCCTCGATCTGACCCGCTCCCTCTCCAACCCATCCTCGTCCACCATGCCCGACCCCGTCAACGGCTCCGCCAATGCGACTGGCAACGCCAACGAAACCGCTCCCCTCCTCGGCCGTCACACCTCCGCTTCCTCCTACCATAGCTACCACCAACACAATTCCGCCTGGCAGGGCCTGCCCCGCAAGTTCATCGTCACCACATGGCGCACTCTTCTGAGCAACTATGTCAACGTCCTGCTCGTCTTCGTACCCCTCGGTATCATCGCCGGTGCGCTGCACTGGGCTCCGACGGCCGTCTTCGTGCTCAACTTCATCGCCATTATCCCGCTGGCCTCGTTGCTGAGCTTCGCGACCGAGGAGTTGTCGGCGAACCTGGGGCAGACAATTGGAGGGTTGTTGAATGCGACATTTGGGAACGCGGTGGAACTGATTGTAAGACCCTTTGTGTTTGTTCTTGTGCTATTTTACGGTTGAGCACGTTGCCGGCTCGCGGGGAATACCGGGTGTGCCGTCTGGGGAGGTTTGTGCGATTTGAATGGTGTTCCTAGACACTGTTTGTTGCGCAAGCTCGAGGAACCAGACATGCGCCGGAAGACGTGCGATTAAACAGGTAGAGACTCGTGCTGACTCGGACCAGGTTTCCATCGTTGCCCTCCAGAGAAATGAGATCCGCATCGTCCAGGCTAGCATGCTGGGCTCCATCCTCTCCAACATCCTGCTCGTCCTGGGCTGCTGCTTCCTCGCCGGTGGCCTCCGCGAACGGGAGAGCAGGTTCAACTCCACCGTCGCCAGCACCATGTCCTCCCTCATGGCCGTCTCGAGCGCCTCCCTGATCATCCCAGCCACCCTCTACGCTGCGCTACGCACCTCGAGCAAGCGCGAGACGGACGAACACATTCTGCTCCTCTCCCACGGCACCGCCATCATCCTCCTCATCCTCTATCTTTTGTACCTCTACTTCCAGCTCTACAGCCACAGCAGCCTCTTCAACGACGTAGAAGCCGCCGCCGAGGAGGGCGAGGGCGGGGCGGGCACCAACGACGACGAATCCGGCGAAATCCTGTCCCCCTTCGCCGCCGGCACCGCCCTCGTCATCGTCACCGTCATGGTCGCCGTCTGCGCCGAATACCTCGTCGGCTCCATTGACGCCATCGTCGAGTCCTCGCACATCTCCAAGACCTTCATCGGTCTGATCCTCATCCCCATTGTCGGAAACGCAGCCGAGCACGTGACGGCCGTGATTGTCGCGTACAAGGGCAAGATGGACTTGGCCATCAATGTGGCGATTGGGAGCTCCATGCAGATTGCGCTGTTTGTGACGCCGTTCCTGGTGATTCTGGGGTGGATCATGAATCGTGCCATGACGCTGCATTTCCAGGGATTTGAGACGGTCGTGTTCTTTTTGAGTGTGTTGGTCGTGAACTATCTCATCCAGGATGGGAAGAGCAATTATCTAGAAGGGGCCATGTGTTTGGGGACGTAAGTGGGCTTTTTCATTTTGTTCCCCCCTTGGGTGAAGCGATGAGCTAACGGGATGACTTGCAGGTATACGATCATCGCCCTCGCCTTCTACGTCTATCCAGATGACGCATCGGGCGATCTGGGTGGGAATTTCATCAAGCATTTCTTCAGCAACTAGAGCGTGTGAATCTACGGACGGGGTAGAGTCGGGCACCGGGATGCTACGGTTGTTCCGGCATCATGGGTTTCGATGGTCAGAGACTGTGTCCTCGACTTCGACTTTCGCTTCTTGCATTCCATTTTCTTTGTATGTATTTCAGAGTGTATTTTTATTCTATTCTGTTGGCTTTTTCACTCAACCGGGTTTGGATCCGCCGACCACACATGGTCACATTGTTTGACATCCCTTCAACCGGACGGGATATGGGGGACTGGAATGTCTTTCCGGAATCTGCTGTTTCCCAGGAGAGACGGATGGAGGGACAGAGTACGATTCCCTCTGCCCTTTGAGTATCTCGATTTCGATCTCCCTTTCTTTCCCCTTGCCCGATCCATTGTAGGAAATGGGCAGGGAGGTTCCCTTGTATTCTTTCTATTTTCTTTCTTTTTCTTTGGTGCGCGCGCCAGGTTTTTTCTCTAGGTTTTCTGGGGATTTTTTTGGGAGTTACGGTGGCGGCTGCTTTTTTCTTTGCTGGCGGTCGGCCTGTCTTTCCTGGGCTCTTTTTTGGGCCTTGTTGGGTTAGGTTTATGGATTCCCTTCTCTTCTATTCTACGGAGGTATTGTGGTTCGGGGTTCGGGTTTGGGTTTGGGTTTGGGGTTGAGTTGGATGTTTATCGATGGTGATTCTTAATTTACTACTTGTTAACTAGTACTACTAGTACTGCTGCTGCTGCTGCTATGACTACTACTTGATTACTTGATTACTTGATTACTTGATTACTCGATTACTCGATTACTTGTCTGCCGATCCGGCGGTTAACCGTCCGTCCGTCCGATTGATCGACTGAGGTGGAGAAGGGGAACGGGAACGTACAAGTAGGGGTTAGGGTGGGAGGGAAAGCAGATTCCATCTAGAGTGCTATATTAAGTGTTTGTTGATGCAAAGTGTAAAGGACCACATATTTTACATGCCGAAAATGCCGCTACAAACAAACCCCCACCAACTACGACAGTACCTACTCCTACCATGACCGCTACGAGGAGGAATCAACCCATCTCATTAAAAGTCAGCAAATGCACAAAGCACGCCGCACACCGCACATACGCCTGCTCCTGCAAAACGACGAGCACACGACAGCGCAAAGACAAGATAATCCATAAGAGCAGCAGAAGCGGCAAAAACGCCAGGTATATCCTTCGCCTACGCCTACGCCTACGCCTACGCCTACGCCTACGCCTTATCCCACCTATCCCATCAATTCCATCCATTCCACCACCCTACCCACGAACCCCCATCCAAACCCTCATGAATCAACCAACCAATCACCCATCCATCCATCCCATACCCACCCGAAAAAAAGCCCAGAAGAAAAGAAAAAAAGAAAAAAAGATAAGAAGCGAAAAACATCGCTTCATAACCCCATTTGCCGTGCAGCATTAGTGAAACGAAAAACGAAAAGCTCAAGAAAAAAAGGGCCGCTAAAAAAGGCCCCAAACAGAGCTTGTGAACCGAATAGAAGAAGAAGAAGAGAAGAAAACCCACGCTTGCTTGCTTGCCTGCTTGCTTGCCCAACAATGTCATGGTCAAAGCCAAAGCCAAAGTCGAAAAGAAAAAAAGGGGTTGCACCGAAAAATGAAATCCACGAAAAAGCAGAGAAACAAAAAACAGCCCAGCACGTCGAGAAGCCGTACACCCTCACTGAAACCGCAACAAGATCCCCCTCCCTCCCTCATCGACCACTACCGTCAACGACCAGGGGTTCTCCTGAATCCATGCCATCCCTCTCCTCTCGACCTCCTTTCTTCCCCCCCTCCTTGTCCCCATCGTCACCGTAACAGTCGTCCACCTCACCCCACATCAAAACCCCGATACCCACGCCGCCCTACTGCGTGGGATAAAACACGGGCGCCGCACCCTGCATCGCACCCATCTGCCCCATCATCTGCCCGGGATAGTAATACGCCGCCCCCTCGGGAGAAGGCGTCATCATGCCTCCCATCCCCGGAACCGCATAGCTGCCCTGCGGCGGCATGTATCCTCCCTCCATGGGTTGCACGCTATACATTGGCAATTGAGCGGGATCCATGTAATATGTCATTCCGTTGGATTCGTAGGGCACGAGGTTGGGTGGACCTTGGGCCTGACCCTGAGCCTGGGCCGCACCGCCACCATTGCCATTCTGCGCCTGTGGTGGAGCTGGCGCTTGAGCCGCTGGAGGAGCCGGCATGGGCATTACGTAGCCCGGTTGCTGAGGAGCTGCGCCAGGCATGAACATGGGCATGGGCATCATACCGTACGGTTGAGCGCCATTCGGAGGATAATAGTACGCTGGAGGCATAGCATAAGGCTGGGGCTGGAAGCCGGGTTGATACGGCTGGAAGGCTGGCGCGTGGATGGCTCTCTCGGGGATGTTGGAGAGAGGCGTTCCGGTCGATGCTTGACTTGGGTAGGATGGATGGCGAGCATGAGGGTATTCGGGGGGTTGCTGGTACTCGGCCGCAGGGGCGCTCCCATTAAGATGCGCGGGAACCTGCTGATGGAAGGGCTGCTCTCCCTGCGCGGGTGGTGGGTTGAACGTCATAGATGCTGGCGACTCGATGCCTGCTACCGACACCGTCTTCTGAGGACGTGGTTGATGCATTGGAAGATGGCCGTGCCAGTTCTCCCTGAAAGCGGGCTTCTGAGGCAATGGATACATCGTGGGCTGCTGAACTCCTTGTGGTGGAACAACAGGAGGTGCTCCGGGCACCCTGGGACCAGGCGGTAGGCGTACTACAGGCCTTGATGTATCGACAAAGCCGCCAGTTCGAGACAAGACAGACCCAGCTGGCGAGACGAGAGTGTCCCTGCCCATCTCGCGGGCAATGGATGACCGCCTGCTCATCGCGATGCTGGGTGAGTAGACACTTCCGCCGTATACGCTTGTTCGCCTGCTCGAGATCCCTCCACCGAACGACCCAAAGCCTCGTCCACGGCCACGGCCGAATCCTTGCTGATTGGGCCGCAATGCGCGAGGTATGAAGATGAAGGAACGCTCTACGGTGGGGAAGATATACCGCGGAGGGGCTGGGGGGAGCGAGATACGAACGGGTTTGTCGCGGCGGAGAGGAGGACGATGGTTAGGAAGGCGCGTGTGTTGCTTGATCGGCACGTTCTGGAAATATACGGGCACTGCCATCCCAGGAAGAAAGACCCGAACCTGAGCATTGTGGGTGTGAACGGTAGTGGAGAAGTTTCGAGGTTGAGAGGAGGGTTGACTTTGGGTCGCTTGACCTTGCTGCGGTTGTTGAGTGGAGGGAGTCGACCCAGGATCCACACGTGCAGCTGTCTCAGGAGGGGCTTGAGGTTGTGGTTGAGACGGAGGGTCTGTGAGCGTTTCGTGGAGGTCATGCTGCCAAGGAGCGTCTGTCGCTTCGGACTGCATTCTGGCGCTGTGATGGTCAACCAAACGGTTCGTGAGGATGCTTGCCGTAATGGATACTTACTTCGCTGGGGAGTATGGGCCACCGATCTGTGCCCCCTTGATGCCCCCACCACGCCCGCCGTTGAAATGCCTGAACCCACCCTGACCTTGTGAGGACCGCTGATCATGCATGAAGAAAGCACCACGGGTCGGTATGAAGGCCGGGTCTGCATCCCGCTTCTTCTTGTACTCCTCGTGCTCACGCCGCCTACGCTCTGCGAGAATCTCCGGTCTCCTAGCAGCAGGCTGAGGGTCGACAGCCGGGGCGCCCGTTTCAAAGTCGACCACCTCGTCATCATCCCCTTTGCCCACAACACCGAGTCCATTCCTCATTAGCTCCGTGTTCCTTGATGCCGTAAACACAACGTCGGATCGAGCAATTGGCGGTGACGGGACCCTCCGTTTCGTGACGCCGGGCCGTTGCTTACCAGCTCGCGGTGAGCCATTGCTAGTACCGTGCCTCTTGTTTTCCGTCCCAGACGGGGGACTTTCCACTTCACTCAAATCGCTGTTGTCCGCATCCGCATCCTCGTCGACATCACTGGGTAACGAGACGTCACTCTGAGAGTCATCTGCCACATCCGTTGCCACCGACACATCATCTCCATCTTCATCCCTTCTCCGGCGCCGGGCCAGGGTCGTCCTCTGTCTCTGTCTGGGTGGAGCCATGTTGGTAGATGGGTGAGGATGTAGATGCGGAGTTGGGTCGGTGGTTGTTAAGCTGGGGGGAAGCTCTTAGGAGGGAATGGGGAGAGGGTGAATTGTCGGCAGAGCTGGGCGGGGCGGACACGAACGGTTGGGGGGACGAGAAAGTAGCGAGAGCCCCAGGATGGCGACGGGGGTTAGAGAAGTGTCGGCGATGAGAGATGTGGCGAGGTGAATGCGGCGGATGGAGGGTGGAATTGGGGTTCTGCAGCGGTGGTTGAGCAGTTGGTGATTGTCGATGATGCCTGTGGGAGAAAATGACGGCTCCACGCCTCTCCACCGTCTTGGCGCAGCTTATTTAGCACCAGCTCTTAACCTTGTCGCGCCGCGCCGAAAGCGCGCCTGAGTGAGGGAACACGGCGGATTGCAAGCAGACGCGGGCCCGCGCGAAAGAAAAGACGTTGCGAAGAGGGAGGAGGAGAAGGAGGTCAATCAGGGAGGAGGCTCGACGGGACACAGAGCACGACACGTCTAGAGAACCAGAAATGCGGAAGGCGGCAACGGGCCTTGTGGCATAGATCACGTGATATGGTGATACCCTGCCCAGGTGAACAGGATATAGAATTTAGGGGGAACCGCAATGAACCCAAGATCACTATCAGAAAACGAATAGACTATTGTTATTGGGGTTTATTTGACGTACTGAATCAGACCGCCGCGGTCTGCCAAATACCCCGAATGCATATGTGACGACCCCATTCGAACACTGTTAAGCCCATAACGAGGTATCATCACTACCGTCTCGAACCCATCTCCCGAACCATACGGAATTCCTCCACGCTTGCTAGAATGCAGAGAATCAAATAAAACACTGTATGCCTCCCATGCTCAGTAGCCCCGTTATATGCTCGATTAAACCGTTTGCCCAAACGCCTGGACATGCACAGTGACCAAGAAGGAGGAAGAAGGGGCAAACGAAAAGAGAAGGGAGAAGAAAACCCTGATGCATAGTTGGTCCTGCGCAACCCCCCCGTCTCTCCCCGAGCCGCCCAAAAGCAAGATTCGCGAAGAAGTAAGATCACCACGATGCAATCGTTGTGAGACTCTCCAGACAGAAATTCACAATGTCGTAACGCCCGACGAGAAGCCCCTTAAACGTCATGGATGAAGGTGCAGTCATCCCCTTTGGTGCAGGTTCCCAGCGGGTAGAACTTGCAAGCGATGACCTTGTGCGGCTTTTCGCCAGTATACGCATGATTCCTGCCGTTTTTCTGTTTCTTGAAGGAACCGTGCCCGCGCTCGTTTCCGTGATAGTGGCCATCGTCGCGCTGCCGCTTGGAAGCGCCATTAGCGGACTGGTTGTATGAACCTTGCTGTTGATATCCGAAGTTCGATTCTGGTTGAGGCGGGGGTTGTGGTGCCAGATTTTGACCGTATGTAGGCCATCCTGGAGGGAGAGGTGGCAACGAGGCCCCTCCCAGCTGAGCTCCGTATTGTTGCATCGTCGAATATAGCGCAGACAGCGCATTTGCATCGATACTGGGTGGCACTGCTGTTGTGGTCGATACATTGGTCCCCGTGTTCAATTTGCTGAGAATTTCCGCTAGATTGGCCGTGCCAGTCGATGCAGGCGTGGCAGTGACTGGTTGCGGGACCGGGAAGGTTGGCGCTAGCGGGAGTTGGGGTGGTTGTTGTTGGTGCTGTTGGTGCTGCTGCTGCTGCTGCTGCTGTTGTTGTTGACCATTCGCATTCCCCGCATGTTGACTGAACACCTTCTCCAGAAAGCTTAGATCGGGTTGAGGTGCCGGTAGCTTCGGAGCCCGCTCAAGGTAACGCGCATCCGTTGGCGCACCGAAGTCTTTTGCTGGTACAACCGGTGCTGGAGGAGTCTCAGGCGGCTCTTTCGGTGAGGGTGGTATATCCGCCTTATCGATATAGTTGACGATGAGGACGGAGCTTTCGCGACGTTGATTGGCCTCCTTTTCCGGACACACGGGTTTCTGCTCGCCGCCTCCCAGGGGTTCAAAGTTCCGAGCTCGCTCCTCTGCGGGCACGGCGCTGAAATCTATGGAGCTTGGTTGTCTCCACTCCATTAGAGTGACCTCGGTCTCATCCTCGTCCTCGTCTTCGTCCATCATGTCGCGGTGCTGCTTGAACATACGGCCTTCGCCGCCAATATCTCCAGCATCCCGTACGAAGTTCTCGTCGTGTCCTTGCTCTTCCTCTGGATCGTGACTGAAGTATCTGATATCAACCAACGAGGCGTCGGGCCGAAATGTTACACGAAGATGCCGACGAGCCTCTTTGCGAAGTCGTTTGGCCTTTTCTTCGGGAGTCTCCGGGGGCAACTTCTTTTCTGGTTTCGCTTCTACCGTCGGCTCTTTCTTGGGTTCGAGAAGCTGGGCCATCGTCTCAGCGAAAGAAAACGAGGGTTTCGCAGGAGCGGCGCCCGGCTTCTTTTCCTTCACGACTGCTACACCAGCTGCCTTGGGCTGAGAGGTTGGTTTGGAAGTGGGGGCAGAGGACGATGTGGGTGCTGGTTTCTTGGTCGCCGCTGCGTTCAGCGTCGAAAAGAAACTCGAGGGCTTCCCGGGAGCTTGAGTGACACGCGCCTTTGCAGGGGCCGCAGCGGGCTTCTCGCCGGGTCGCTTCTGCGGAGCCGCGATGGCGGTTGATGGCTGTTTGTTATTCGCGTCACCCGCTCCCAACTTCTTCGGAACGGCCGAAGCAGTGTCGGACGGCTTTAGCTTTTTAGCTGCAGGGTTGTCTGTAGTGGGACGACCGGCGAAGGCAGGTTCTGACAGCTGCCTCTTCGTACCCTTGGGCTCGACGGCATCGCTTTGCGGCGGTGAGCTCGTCTTCCCTCTCTTAGAGCCTGCAGCAGCCGCTTCAACTATCTGCTGGATAAGAGCCTTGTTGGCCTCGCTCGAGACCTTCTTCATGGAATTCAATGCTCGATTGAGCTTAGTCTCCTCTAGGATTTCAGTGGTTAAGGTGCCTCCGGCCTGAGCTAAGACTTTATAAATCACGGTTGGCAGCTGCCCATCGTAATCCTGCATTTTGAACCGATTCGCCAAGAACTGATAGCAAAGATAGATAAAAGGCTTGACTTGCCCCAGATGATACAAAACATCCGGATGAGTGAATTCCAAAGCGGAATTGAGAGCAGAATGCAACAAGTCCCGCTGGCTCGAGACGCGACTCTTTAGAACAGGCAACTCTCCGGTCTTCTTCTTCTCTTCGGCCTCTGCGACTGCCTTGGAATCGGCCCTCCAGCGCTTTTGGATGGTGTTGAGGACCTCCCATAGCTCGGAAAGGCTGCGTTTAATCTTGTCGGAACTGACTGGGTATGCCCTCGGGAACCAACTGGCCTTGATGACATCATACCGCACAGCTTGGTGAGGATCATCCGGGCGGGTGGCAGGCAAAGGAGATTCCTCGTCTTCGTCGCTCGTATATTCGCTATCATCATCCGAATCGGTGTAGCTTTCACTATCGCTCACCTCCCGCTGCAGTGCTGAGGGACTTCCGGCGCCCACCTTCGTTGTGCCCGGTTTCAAGGCGAGTTTTAAGTGTGAAGGTCTGTGCGATGTTCTGTCCTTGAACTTGGCACGGCCAGCACCGGCCTTTTTGATAACCTTGAGGGATTGGCGTGAAGTATATGTCGGCAGGATGGCTACACGTTATTAGACACGATACAAAAGGCGGCGGGCAGGCCGTGGCATTTTGGGCGCTTACTTCTATTTGTGGCAAGGTGCAAGGGCTCTGTGCCGATATTCACGAATTTATTCAGGGGAACAGAGTTTGTAGCTTTGGCCAGAGCATTTTGATCAATCACGTACAAGCCGCCAATTACCTTCCCAGCAGGAATGTCATACTTGGGATTGCTCACCGGCCGCAAGGCCAGAGGAGTAGAAGCCGCACGCTGGGCGAAGATGTCGGCAGTGCTCTTGGGTACCTGTGGAGAGTCAGTCAATCGTAGTTGGGCGTCTGGGAGTGGAATACACACCTGATACTGGGATGCGGGGCGAGCATGCTGCTGTGGGACAGCATTCTGCTGCAGAACTTGTGGGGATACGGTAGACTGGGCCGGTGGGGTTGCAGTCTGCAGCTGTTGCTGATATGGGGACTGCTGTGCTTGAGCAGGAGTGGGGTGTTGGGTCAAAGCTGGGTCGACGGCAGGCTGGCGTGCAAAGGTGTGGGCAGGCGGAGTACTGTCATAGCGAGCGTACTGGTAAGGAGAGGCAGTCTGATAGGGTTGCTGTGCAGCTCCGTTCCTCAGCGCAGCGTTGTACTGCTGCTGAGACAGAGCTGGAGATGGGTGATGCCAAGAAGGCGGATTGGGCGACTGTGCATGCGATTGCAAGCCAGACTGGGCCTGGTTGTACGGGTCCCATGCTGCAGATGCATTGTACTGGTTCCCCCTTGAGAACAGATGGTCGTAGTTGTTGGCAACGGCATTGGGGAAGGCCGACTGCGGTGGGAGGTAATGGGGGTTGGGAGCCACGTGATCGTTGGGAGCCATATTGGAGGATGAACCAGTGGACCAGAGCTGTGTCAGCGAGGAGAGTGTCGAGATGGGCGCTGATTGGTCGAGGGAATGATGGATGGCGGAACAACCCCCAACGTTCCCGATCTGTGACAAGAGAGCAAGGGATCCCGCTAGGCGAAATAGGGGCCGACGCTGATGACAGGGAACGGTGAATTGAGGAATACCTAGTTGCGCCGACGGACGGGACCGTACGTCTGTATACTGTGTAGGTCTTTCTGATGCGGGAGTCTGGTACCAAATGCTGCCTGTACCTACTCAACGGCGGAACCGCGTCTGGCACCGTGGGAACCGCCGACCTCAACTCGCGCAGACTCCTCTTCACCAACGTGGTTCGCCCGTACCAGCTGGCAGATTAAAGCTGCAGACCAGAAGCGCGCAGACACAAGAGGGCTGTAAGACGCGCTTCTCGCCAGAGACACGCCGTGCGCACCTTTAGAGCCGTACGTTTTTGGTCGAGTGGCACGGTTGCGTCACCTGACGTATTCGCACCTTTTATTTGACTGCGGGTGGGTGGATGGTGTGGTAATGGTAGCAAACAGACTCCACCAGGGGCGCAGGAGGCGGGCGCGCTGCAACTGCCTTTCCTTGCACGTCGAGACAACGCAAAAAGGTCGTCCGTCCACGAAACAGAGCTGCCCTTTTTTGGAGTTTTAGGCCAACGCCTTGACGCGAAATCGGCCAGGTCGTTCAGAAGAGCTGAAGTTAGGAGGGGATGGCAGGATTAAGACACTGCTGTTGCCCGTTCACGCCGCGATCAGCCAGCGGTGAAAACCCTGACAATCCACCACCCGACCGACGCCTCAGCTACCTGTCCTCCCAGCGATGCCGGAAACCAATAATGCGACCTAGAAGCAGAAGCAGAGGGCCCCTTTATGAAACGGGCGCAGAATCACCGAGCAGCCATCAGCGAGATGAACGCAAGAGGGGGGAAGAGAGAGAAGAGAGATGGGGGATGCCTTGTTGGTTGTAGGAGTGAGGGAGCAAACGCCGCCCGCGAGACCACTTTGAAGGGGCGAGCTGGCACGTGCACGCCTCGGCACTTGGCAGATTTGCCGCCTAAGCCCAAAGTGGATGCGCTAGCAACCTGCATCATCGAAAGGTGTGCAGGTGTGAAGGTGGCCGCATCGCACCATCTACCCTTCCGAGAGCTGTATCTTCAAGAAACGTCTTCCCGACTTCTCCTCCTCCTCCTCCCGGATACCGTTGGTGTCTCCTTTTTTGGCTGGCCTACATTCTCCCGTCCCTACATGCGGTGACTCTGTTTCCCCCGGGCCCAGCCCTTTTGAGATACATCACCATGGCAAGCTTGCGGGACCGCCAGATTGGTCAGTAAAGCGCGTCGCTCTCGCCTGGCACGGAACAGAATACTGAAAAGTCTCCCGCAGCCTCCATTGAGCGCATACTCAACCTCAATGCCCCGACACAGCATACCGACCATCACGATCATGCCGCCGGCCTGCCCCCCGCCAACTCGCCCATATTGACCGAGTCCGGAGAGCCGATATGGAAGATACTGGTATTCGATGATATGGGGAGGGACGTCATCTCGAGCGTGCTGCGTGTCAGTGACCTGCGCCAGTGGGGGGTCACCATTCATTTGAACATCAACACCACCAGGCACAGCATTCCCGATGTACGTCGGCCCTCATGCTGCTAGGAACACGATGGCTGATCGGCGCAGGTCCCCGTGATATACCTCATCGAGCCCACTGCTGCCAACTTGGCCATTGTCACGTCCGATCTTTCCAGATCCCTCTACTCCCCAGCCTACGTCAACTTCCTCAGCTCCATACCCCGACCCCTTCTCGAAGACTTTGCAGCACAGACAGCTGCATCCGGGACTGCGGAGCATCTAGCGCAGATCTACGACCAATACCTCAACTTCATAGTCAGCGAACCGGACCTATTCTCCCTCAACCTGAATGGGGCATACAGTACTTTGAACAGTGCACAGACGTCCGACGAAGACCTGGATGCCTTGGTAGAGCGGATCGTGTCTGGGCTTTTCTCCGTCGTAGTGACCATGGGGACAATACCAATCATTCGATGTGCGCGCGGAGGTGCCGCAGAGTTGGTCAGCATCAAGCTGGACCGGAAACTCCGCGATCACCTGCTTAACTCAAAAGTCAACCTTTTTGGTGACCACAAGTCGGCCGCGGCTATTGCCTCACGACCGGTGCTCATCATAGCAGATCGCAATGTGGATCTGACCCCCATGCTCAGCCATTCCTGGACCTATCAAAGTCTGATCACGGACATCTTGCACATGCATCTCAACAAGATCACTGTGACAGTCCCTATTGACGAGAACAACCCTGAGAAAGGCAGCAAGAAACAGTCATATGACCTGACCGCATCCGACTTCTTCTGGCAGAAGAACGCGACACGGCCGTTTCCAGACGTAGCGGACGACATCGACGGCCAGCTCAAGAAGTATGAAGAGGATGCAAACGAGGTGACGAGGAAGACAGGCGCATCCTCCATTGACGATCTTCAAGGAGGCTCCGCCTCCATCGCTGCGCATCTGAAAGGTGCGCTCGCGCTATTACCAGAGCTGAAGGAGCGGAAAGCGCTCTTGACCATGCACATGAACATTCTCAAAGCGCTTATCAAGGGCATTGAAGACCGGAAGGTGCATGAATTCTTCCAACTGGAAGAGGACCTTTCAAAGCAAACGAAGGCGCAGGTTCTCGAAATCCTCAAGAGTCCCGACAAGGGCAACGAGCCCCTGGACAAGCTGCGCTTTTTCCTTCAATGGTATCTCACAACCGAGACCGAAGTGTCTCGGGCAGACTTGGAAAGCTTCACCAAGGCTCTTCAAGATGCAGGCGCGGATACTACGTCCCTAAACTATGTCAAGGTATGTGTAGCCCGACTCCAGCAAGTTGTATCACTTCTAATACCCCCACAGACCGTCCGCCAGCTCACCCGCATGACCATGATCTCCTCGGCCCCCAGCCAACCCCAGCAAAACGCATCCAGCATGTTCCAAGGCCTCACAAGTCTCTCCTCCCGCGTCACCGATCGCTTCAAGGACGCCGGCCTCGCCACAAACTTCGACACCCTCCTCTCGGGCCTCACCAACCTCATCCCGAAGAACAAAGACCTCACTCTTACCAAGATCGTAGAGTCTCTCATGGATCCGCAGAACGCGTCCTCGTCCGCCATCTCCAAGACGGAGGACTGGCTCTACTTCGACCCGCGCTCCGCCAACGCGAGAGGCACCATTCCGCAGGCCAGCCAGGCGAGGGGCCAGATGGGCGGCGCGAGCGCGTCAGGCGTAGGTCGCGGGATCGAAGCGAGTTTTGGGATGCGGCGGCAGGGCTTCAGCGAGGCGATTGTATTCACGGTTGGAGGCGGGTCGATGGACGAGTATGGGAATCTGATGGAGTGGGTTAAGAGGACGGGGGGTGGAGGGGCGTCGGGCGCGGGGGCAGGCGCGGCGCAGGGGAAGAGGAGGGTCGTGTATGGGAGTACGGCGTTGTTGTCTGCGACGGAGTTTATCACGAAGGATTTGATGGTGTTGGGGAAGGAGAGTACGTAGGGGTGTGAGATAGACTCGGTTTCAGGGAAAAGGAACCGGGCGATGTCCCTCTATGGGTTGGGAGCAGTGTCTTGATGGAGAAGTGGAAACCCCAGCTGCGCCGAGCGGATGTATTCAATAGATGCTCTAGATTTAATCTGCGAAAGGGCGATCGACTTGTTGGGCAATGATGAGATGGGCATCCTCAGTTTCCACGCCAAGCACGGAGTCTGCACAGCTGGAGTAGTCCCTATGAATGAGATTTTTGTATGACGGCGTCGCAATTCCATCTCCGCTTGCTATCCCATTCCTAGGAGGGTTTACAGGCTCATTCACACGCAATACCGATACTCCCCACTATTGGGTCGTCATTGTTTGCTCGACCTAGGTTACACTTGTCGCCCCTTTCGAGTCCTGGCCGTATCGTGATGGTTTATGTCCGCGTGTGGCACAGCAAACTTTCCTCGGAGAATCGAGAGTGCGTGCGACAAAAGGGTGAGTGTGGCAACGAGTCCATTTATTAATATTTTTGCACAGCGTCCGGAATTTGGGCTCTCCGGCGCAGAAGGCGAAGGCCACGGGCCGAGCAGAGCTGCAGGTCATATTCTTGTTCATTATTGGGCATCTTTTGCAGTGGGGACCGGTTGGTTGGGGGCCGGCGGAGAATCCGCGAAGGATTTCTTGTTGGGTGTTGCTGTTTTTACGAGTACATCCTTCGTTACTCACGGATTTTACTTACCTACCACATACTGTGTACGAAGTACGGAGTACGCGCGCGGTTGACGGAGATTGCGGGAAGGGTTGGGTTGGTGCAATTAGGTTGTTGGATCCCCATCCACCGCAGGATTCCCGAAGGTCGATGTTGGATTCTTGACCTCCGGCCCGCGCCCCGGATTCTGGAAAACGCCACGAAAGAAAAAGGTGGGCGGGCCAAGGATGTCGGAAAACAATGGAAAAAGGGCACGTTGCAGCTGAGAGGCTTCGAAGGTTTCGACGCTTCGACGGGGACGCTGTGGTCCTGCGGCACAGCAGCGGCAGGCAAGGGAGGGTAAGGTAGGGTAAGGTAGCACGGCGTCCACGGGTCGGGTAACGGGGTGTCACACCGATTATGCGGGGACGCTGCGGGCAGTGTTGTGGAGCTGGAGTTCTTTGTCTGGAGGGGAATGGGGATTTGGAGGCTTTGAGGGCTGGTTGGGTGTTGCATTAGGGTTCACGGCGTATGGGGTTGCTTTCAAGATGCCCTGTGATTGCGGGGTTTGTATTTACTGTGGTAGGTTGGCTGGCTGGCAGAGTGGGTTGGGGTTGTGAGATGCGAGTTTTCTTTGTGCGCGCCCAAGTGTGCATATGGAGAGGCGGCAGAGGTGCATGGGCTGTGTGTGCATTGAATGGGAGTGATTGACGTAAGGCGTTGCGCATGCTGGTCTTCCTATGGATGGGGAGTAGGAGGGACATGGTGAGCGGTGGAAGGGAAATTGAGATAGGAACCGTGAAGGCAAATATCTTGAGTCGGGGATAGAGAGAGAAAATAGAGCGAGACGGAATCTATTTCTTTATTTTATTTACAACGTAGAAGCGTCTCTTAAAAAAAGAAAAAGAGAAAGAGTTTATAACTGCCGTAAACACATAACACGTCTCTATCTATTCACTGTCCTCTTTCCATCATCACTCATCCATCATGAGTCCGCCGTCATCACTCATTCTTCATACCAAGGAAGCCTCACCAACTTCCCCTTACACAGCTTCACCAGCTCGGCCTCTCAATCCTAACCCTTACATCCCCCTCCCCCGTCGGCGCCATAATCCCAATACAAGGCGTCTTGGTATTCATCTCAGGCACCACGCCCCTCCCCTCCTTGCCCGCCCGCACCGCCTCCTCACTCAACCGCACCCCAAACTTGCCCACCGCCAACCCCACAAACGTCAAAATCTCCTTCATCGCAAACGCCCGCCCAGGACACAAGCTACTACCCCCACCAAAGGGCCGATAATTCGGATGCTTCACCAACCCGGGGTTCTGCAGGAACCGCTCGTGCTGGAAACTGGCCGGGTCGGCCCCGTAGGTGCCCTCGTCGAGCATCATTTGCCGGTAGGGGATCACCATGCGCGCGCCCTTGAGGAGCTTGAAGTTGCGGATGTAAGTGTCCGACATGACGATGCGGACCGAGGTGGACGAGGCGGAGATGCGGAGGGCTTCGTGGTAGACGGCGAGGAGGGTCGGGCAGTGGGATTGGAGGGCTGTGGCTAGGGCTGGGCCGGAGAGCGTGCAGGGGGAGGTTGGCGTGATGAAGGGGGAGAGTTCGCTGAGGATGGCGCTGTGGAGGGATGGGTTGGTCAGGATGTGGGTGAGCATCCAGAAGGAGGCTTTCCAGGCGTTGGCGTTGATGCTGTTGAAGTTTTAGCATTCTCTTCTTTTTGGATATATTATCACCAAACATTGATATGTAGGGGCGAACGAAAGGTCACATCAGGAGGTGAACGGGAGCACTTACACCCAGTAAAACATCAGCACCAGAACCCCCATGTCCTCATTCCCAATCCCCCCACTCCTCAGCACGCTCTCAATCTCGAACACCAATTTACTCGCATCGCTCCTCCTGCTCCTCGGCAGCGCAAAGTACCTCGCCAACGCCGCCTCGGCCGTCTTCTTCGACCTCTTCACATCCTGCGCGAACAAATCGGGGATGTTGTACGGGAGCTTCCAACTACTGTCGTCGAATTCGTAAAACGATTCAAACAGATTGGGCTCAACTTCTAGCAATGCATCACCAAAGAAGGACCGCGTTGCTCCCTCGAGGAGAACGTGCTGCGACCACTTGAGCAAGGAGACGTCCGCGCCTTCGGCACTGGGACGGCTCAGAACCATCCACTCCGGCACCTGATCCCACGTCATGCGCGTATGCACCGTACTGAGCAACACATCGAGCATGGCCTCGCTGTAGTTCCCCGGGTTCAGCAGCGTGCGGAACAACATGACGCAGATTTCCTTGACGGGCTTGTCTTCCCAGCCATGGAGTGCGACCTCGGGATCAATAGGACTGATACGTTTCTCAACCAAGTCGTCCTCCTTGGAGGCGGATTTCCCGAAACCGGGGACGCAGCTCCACATGGCGCGGATGGACGAGTCGGAGGCGCCGAATTGGCGCATCAGGTCCATGAGCCAGGGGTTCAGGGAGAAGGCGTCGTTTTTGTAGACGCTGACGGTGTCTTGGGCGGACGTGATGACGTAGACGATTTCGCCCATGATGATGAGTTTGAAGGGGTCGCGCGTGTTGTTGAAGTAGAGGCTGGTGGGTGGAATTAGGCATTGGGAAATCGGGGATTGTAGAGAAGTCTACTTACCGGGCGCGCTGCATGGTTTCTTCGGCATCGCGGAAGAAGGTAATGCTGTGGCCGATGACTGTGTTGTATCGTTAGTGGCTGTCTCCATATTTTTCAAGTATGGAAGTCGATGAAGAGAAAGGCGAATAAGAGCGAATGTAACCCCTAAATAGAGACACCTGAACGGGGCCTTTGGAACAGATGTAGAGGGCATAACTGTCAACAAGTCCTTGAAGGGACCCTCGAAATGTGACAGGACCCATAAGATAGAACAAAAGTCAAAGGAGCGTGTAAGGACGAGCAGGTTGAAAGCATGACTCGAGATGCAAAGAAGAAAAAGGTATAGGTTGAAGGGAAATGGAGGAAAAGATCGACCAACATACAGGGTATCCAATACGGGTACGTCTTCGGTTCGTCTGGATAGAGGCGTGGGTGGATCGTGAACCTCCATAGCCTCCACAAGAGCCACGCAAATGAGCATCCTAGGAAGACTTGAAAGTAGACATTGGCTCTTAGTGCGGAGAGGAGCACCGAAGTGTGATTGTTCTGTGCCAACATGGTTGTTCACTCAACTGTCGCGCGGAGAGGGACAGCTAGTGGGAAGGTGGGGATACAATGGATGGGTATAAAAAGAGCTTGACATGCAGTGTGTAATCGGCAGCGAGCCGAGATAGCGCAATCCCGCGAACGATTGAACCGTGACGGAGCTGAAGCAAGGAAGTAGTAAAGATAACACACAACAAAGAGTCCCATCATCGTGGGTAGGCTGCATATCTTTAGAGCAAGGCGCTTAACGAGTGCGGCAAAGCGATGGAGTGGCGCCAGATACGACAAAACCGCGAATGGAGGTTAAAGGAATGTTGGTCCCTCATCATCCGTGGGCTCGGACAGACGCACCGTTTACCGCCCGGGTTTCAATCTGTGACCTGGCAGAGATTCTTTGGTTCAATTTTCGGATGATTAACGAATCTGGCTCTTGCGCCGGAAGTTGCGGGTCAGTATGTACTCTAAACGTCAGTTTGCCGCTATTGTAAGCAGTTCGATCTACCCATGCATTGTAATATGCATTAGTTCTCCGTATGGCGCAAAGGATGTGGCAATGACAGACATTCTACCATTAGAATAGGTGCGACTAGATTATACCTACAGTAGAAATCTCCAAAATGTAAGGGTCATATCGAATGGACAAAGGGTAAGTGGAATACTACTTCCCTACATGAGTCCTCATCTTACATCATTTGCGAGGGAAGCCAACCCTCATCAAAGCAAAACTTCGGTTCGACCCGGAAATGCATCAGCATGCAGGATTGCGGCGTAATATCGCGGTGGGAGCGGTCCTCCTCGTCTTGACCTTCCATACGGAGTTCGGAGTACCTATGCGAATGTGCTGCTGCGCCGCAGTTCCACGGGTATTGCAGGGGCGTTGTCCGGATTCAGGATTCGTCGCACAGAATCCCACGTGCATTGCACGCGGGTGTGGATAAGTCAGACATGTGAGCTTCCCGCTGCAATTCGCACCCAGTATGAAGCTTGTCCTTGGCCGAATATATTTTGGGCGCTTCGAGAGCGTTCGAACCACTTTTGCTTCCCACAAAGTGAGCGTGCTCCGTGATTTTGGAACTGGCCCCCCATTCTGTGACAAAGATACACAGTCTGCAGAGTTTGGTAGGGAATACGAGGAGGTGTGGACCCCGTTGTATTTAACCGTCACTCTACGGGGAGGTGGCACGCTCAATGATTGGTTCTATGGCGTGCAGACATCCATGCGGGTTTTCTGGAAAGTCAGCGCAGGATTCACATTTCCCAACGGCACGGTAAACCAGCACGGCTCGGAAACAACACAAAGGCGCGGCAATGCAGTGTTACCGGAAAGCATGGTGAAACCGTTCACTCAATTGGTCAGGATGTGGTCCGGTTCCCTGATCCGCCCGGTACTGCGTCCTCGCCGCATTATTATTCCTGCGTGTTGCACGAAGGACTAGGGAGGTGGTACCCCGTCAAAGCATTTGACGGGATGCACAGCAATCAGAAGTAGTGTGGGCTAATTACGTGCAATTTGGCGTCTGGCGCCTAATGGGCGTTGTTGCCGGCTTTCGCGGGAAGCAGACTGGCTGATGGATGGAACAAGAGATGCGCCCCCCATAACAGAACCCCCCAATCTCAACACTCTTCCCTTGCCACATCTATGTATAACCATTTTACTTACTAACGGACCGACATCCATTTTCAACCTAAACGCCTCGGGTGTCCATTCTGGCCATTCAATGCGGGAACGATGTCGCAAGGGGAGCTAGAGCTGACCAGCTTCACGCGTCTGGACACAGCCGACTCGAAGGCTCAGATTGTGACCTCTATCTCCAACGTCTGGTCGCGCGCGCAACTGGATCCTACAAGCAGCGCTTTCGATGCCACAGCCTGGTTCAAACACTTTGCCGAACTGAGAAATGGCGATCACCCGCTGTACAAAGCCAAGAGAGGAGGCTTCTTGTTCAAAAATCTCAACGTCTACGGGACCGTGAAAGCGGACGACTATCTCCATACCTTCGGCAACGCGCCCCTTCGTCCTCTCAGAGCCGTAACTAGGTTGTTTGGCCGAAATGATACCATCAAGGTTCCGATTCTGCGGGGGTTCGAGGGTATCGTCAATGATGGGGAGATGTTGGCTGTACTTGGACGGCCTGGTAGTGGCTGCACGACCCTCCTGAAGACGCTGGCTGGGGAGACACGAGGTCTAGAGGTGGGAAAACAATCAGAGATTTTGTACCAAGGCAAGATTATCCAGTGAGCCTGCAGGCACTGTCCTTTCTGACAATCGTAGGGATACCTCCGCAGACCATGCACACCGAGTTCCGCGGGGAATGCATATACACGGCTGAAGTGGATGTCCACTTCGCGGACTTAACGGTTCTCGAGACCCTGCAGTTCGCCGCCGCTTGTCGGGCGCCCAAGAATCTGCTCCCGGGCATGTCTAAGCAGGAATACATCGACTATGTCACGAACGTGGTGCTCAGAATCTTCAATCTCTCAAAAGCGCGGGACACCCGTATCGGCGATGCGATGATCCGGGGCGTCAGTGGAGGAGAGAAGAAACGTGTCAGCATCGCAGAGGCATTCATATCATTCGCGCCAGTTCAGGCCTGGGACAACAGTACAAGAGGCATGGACAGCGCGACGGCATTGGATTGCATCCGCAACTTCCGCATCTTCACCCAGACAAATGGTGCAGCTACCATAGTGAGCCTGTACCAAGCGTCTCAAGATATTCTCGACTGTTTTGATAAGGTTACTGTGCTCTATGAGGGCAGGCAAATCTTCTTTGGCACCTGGCAGGACGCTATCCGCTATTTCCATAATCTGGGGTTTGAGCGACCCTCCAGACTTACAACAGGTGACTTCCTGACTGCGCTCACCAACCCGCAGGAAGCCAGGCTCTTGGTTTCGCCGGATTGGACACGGCCTATTCCTATCACTGTCGATGAATTTGTCGAGGCCTGGCAGAACAGTGCGGAGCGACAAAAGCTGCTTAGCCAGATCAACGACAAGCGCGACGAGTACTTGCACCGCACAAACGGTCTCCAATGTTACCGGGAAGCACGGGCACTCGAGAAACACCCACGGGTGTAAGTTGCGTCCAAGATTTTATTATTCGCTTCGTTTACCTCCCGGTTACTGACAATATGCAGAGGTGGTTCGTCGCCTTTTACTATTCCCATCGCAAACCAGGTTGCGCTTTGCCTGGGAAGAGGTTTCAAGAGGCTTAAAAATAATATTGGAGTACCAATATCGTATATCATTGGAAATCTCGTCATGGCCGCGATTGTTGGCAGTGTATATCTCAACCTGCAGGAATCGAACGATGATGTTTCCAAGCGGACCGTTCTCATCTTCTTCGCTATCTTGATTAACGCCTTCATGAGTGCAGCTGAAGTAGGTGACGGCTCCGAGAACGGGGGATAAGACTAATGTATCTATAGGTCTTGACCGTGTGGGATCAGCGTCCAATTGTCGAGAAGCAGACGAAACACTCTCTCTACCATCCCTTGGCTGAGGCTATCTCTGCCATTATCTGCGACCTCCCCGCCAAAATAACTGCATCTATCTTCTTCAACCTGCTCTTGTACTTGATGACCAACCTAAGGCGGACTCCTCAACATTTCTTCACCTTCTGGCTCTTCACATTCGTCTGTCAAATGGCAATGTCCATGTTCTACAGACTTGATGGGTCAATGCACCAGACACTGGAGGCTAGTATGGTTCCCGTCGGAGTCCTCGTCTTGCTGGCCATTATTTATACCGGTTTTGTGATTCCCATCCCCTACATGAAGCCATGGCTGGCGTGGTTTCGTCATATCAACCCGGTTGCATACGCATTTGAGAGTCTCCTGATCAACGAGGTATGATTGGACCCGTTCCTAGCCAAAAACCTCAACTAATATGGCCCCTTCGCAGTTCCATAAGCGCGAGTTTCATTGTGCACGTCATATCCCGGATGGCCCCTTTTACGAGCAATTTGACACGGCGTTCAAGACTTGTTCGGGCACAGTGGCTGGATTAGCGAGCAATAGCGTCCAGGGTGACTCTTATATTGAGGTAGTATACAAGTACAATTATATCCACCTCTGGCGGTATGTTATTTCCTTGGCCATCTTTATCTGCGGCGCACCAAACGCTAACAATTTCAGGAATCTGGGTATATTGCTTGCTTTCGTCATTGTCTTCTTTGCTCTCCATCTCTGGTCCAGCGAGAAAGTGGAGACCCAAAAACCCCGCGGAGACTTGCTATTATTTCTGCGCAAGCGTCGCCCTCAGTGGCAGCAGCCAGACGAAGAACTAAACCCGGCACCTGGAAAGATTCACCACGAAACTCACATCACCTCAGACGCCGGCCTTGTAAACCATAAGTCAGTAACGCACTGGGAGAATTTGTCTTACGAAGTGCCTGTAAAGAAGGGCAAGAAACAGATTCTATATGACATTGATGGGTGGGTCAAACCCGGCACCTTGACGGTTCTTATGGGCGCAACTGGGGCGGGAAAGACAACCCTACTAGATGTAATTGCCCAGCGTACGACCCAAGGCCGCGTCACAGGCAATATCATGGTGGACGGCCGACAACGCGATACAAGCTTCCAACGCTCCACCGGCTACGCACAGCAAAACGACCTTCACCTTCCTACCGCTACAGTCCGCGAAGCTCTCCACTTTAGTGCATTACTTCGACAGCCTCATAAACTTCCCAAAGCTATCAAGACTGCATATGCTGATAGAATCCTCGAGCTTCTTGGAATGCAATCATATGCCGATGCTATTGTCGGTGTCCCCGGAGACGGCCTCAGCCCTGAACAGCGGAAACGACTCACCATCGCTGTAGAACTGGCATCCCGTCCCAGTCGACTGTTGTTCCTGGATGAACCAACCTCCGGGCTCGATTCGCAAACCGCATTCATCATCTGCAACCTGCTGCGCAATCTTGCTCATGAGAGCGGACAGGCCATTATGGCAACCATCCACCAGCCCTCTGCCAGCCTACTCGAGATGTTCGACCAGATCCTGCTTATTAATGCCGGACGAACAGTCTACTTTGGGCCCATCGGGGAAGACTGTAAGACTATGATCAATTACTTTGAAAGCAAGGGGGCACCGACTTGTAAGCGATGGCAGAATCCTGCAGAGTGGGTCATGGACGTCTCTGGTGCATCCCCAGGCTCCAAGAACACCATTGACTGGCACAAAGCGTGGGAGGAATCTGCCGAGAGACAAAAACTGAAACAAACTCTTAGCGAAATGAGGATCTCTTTGGCAGAGCGACAACCCTCGGAGACCGAAGAAGGCGAATTCGCGACGCCGGTGTGGACGCAGATATACGTGCTCACGAAACGCACTTTCGTCGAGTACTGGAGAACTCCGGCGGCCATTTACGCAAAACTAATCTTCTACGCAGGCGCCTCGTTCATGATTGGTGTGTCATGCCTCCGCTCTCCCAACTCACTGCAAGGCCTGCAAAATCAGCTCTTCTCCATATTCCTCATTTTCACCACTTTCAGCAACGTCCTTCAACAGATCGCTCCTCAGTTTGGAAGCAGGAGAGCGCTATACGAAGCCCGCGAACGTCCGTCAAAGATCTTCTCCTGGACTGCGTTCATCACCTCGAGCATTGTCGTCGAAGCGGCCTGGCAGGTGTTACTGGCCACGATTTCCTTCATACTGTTCTACTACATCACTGGCATGGACCTGAACACCACCGATGCAGACCGCCATGAAAGAGGATTTTTGATGCTCTTACTCTTCATTGAATTCTTCCTCTTCACGCAATCTCTGTCCCATCTGCTCGTCGCTGCAATCGAGGTCCCGCAGGCAGCAGTGAACATGGGTCAGCCCATCTTCTACCTGACCATCATTTTCTGCGGTGTGCTAGTCCCGTTCAACTATCTTCCCGAGTTTTGGAAATTCATGTACCGCGTTTCGCCCCTCACCTACCTTACACGCAGCATCTTCGCCGTCGGCGTCGCTCACCAGCCTATCACTTGCAGCAGCTCGGAGCTCACTACGGTCAGTCGTGCTCCTGAGGGCTTTACCTGCGGCGAGTATTTCAGCGAGTTTGTGAAGCAGTTCGGAGGAAACGTGGTGAATGCAGATGCGACCACCAACTGCGGGTACTGTCCGATGCGCGACACAGACGAGTTTCTGAAGTTCTTCAGCATGGATTATAACGAAAGATGGCGCGATTTTGCAATCATTATGGTTTATATTGGGTTCAATTGGATGGCTACTTTTGCGCTGTATTGGTTGGCGAGGGTGCCGAAGAAGCAGAAGAAGGTGGAAGCAAGCGCAAAGAAAAATGCAGTTTGAGGAAGCGGGCTTCTTGGATTAATATGTAGATTACGATGGTTTATAATGCGGCGTTTGAGACTTTCCAAAACATGATGACAGATGTAGTTCGCCAGTGACTGCGTCGGTGACTTTCCATAATCAACCTGGCTTCAAGCCATCATACTAATTGCCAGTTACACTAATAACTGTTTCCAATGATATTCCACATAACTCATACGACACCTGTATGCATGAGGGCGTAAAATCCCATGCGCAGCGTCATGCGCTGACCGTTCAGACGCCCTTGTTCAAATTGCAATTGGCTACGCCCCACAAATGATTCGACTCCCATCCCGCTTACTCCCGCAAACTGCAGTTCCCCTCTGTCAAAATTGTCTTAGATCAGCTCACCAGGCCAACAACATGGACACCGCTCCCGTGCATGAAGACAATCAGTATCCGGATCCGCAATCACTCGGCACTGTTCTCATAACTGGAGGCGCCGGAATTGTGGGATCCCACCTCGCAGAGGCCTTTGTAAAATCCAACCCAAAGCCCGCCAAAATAGTCGCGACATATCACTCCCAGAAAGCAACTCAATTTGCATGTCCTAGAGTGTCCTATCACGTCTGCGACATCACTTCAGCAGACGAAGTCTCGAAATTGCTCGACGAGGTCCGACCCACTCTCATTATCCACACCATATCCCCGGGCCCATGGGCATCTGCATCGCTGCAACACAAAATCAACTACGAAGCCACAGAACAGCTCGTTGAGCTGGCGAAGAAGCATCCTTCAGTGCAAGCATTCATCTACACGAGCTCCATCTTCGCGGTTGAACTTCCCACCACCCCACCTGATGTTCCGCTCACTGAGGAGACCGCAAAGCTGAACATTCTTGACTCTTCCCACTCAATCACAAGCGCCTATGCTCGTACAAAAGGAGCCGCCGACGCCTTGGTGCTTGCTGCAAATACCGGCCGCTCCCTGCCTCACAGCAATCTTAACGATACTCAGTCCTTCTCCGGGCAGCTACTCACATGCACCCTCCGCATCGGCGGTCTCTACGGTGAACGCGACGAGAAAACCCTAGGCGAGATGCTCAAGCTCGTCAACACTTCGGCTACGCGCGTGCAATTCGGAAACGACGAAGCGTCAATGAGTGGACATACACCGAGAACGCAGCAATAGCGCACGTGCTTGCTGCACAGCGCCTTATGAGCCCGATCACGACTAGCGACGACCCAGCGCTGAAAGTTGACGGCGAGGCCTTCTTTATCTCCGACGGCATGCCGATGCCGTTTTGGGACTTCTGCCATCGTGTGTGGAAGGAGGCAGGTGATAGACATCATGCTTCCGAAAAGCCTTCGATAACGAAGATTCCGTTTGGGATGCTAATCCCCGTGGTGCAAGCTGTGGAGATGGTGGTGGGGATTTTGAGGCCTGGAGGGGATGAGTTGAAGCTGAATAGTTGCCATTTGAAGTTCATGCGAGCGGGCTGTAGGGTGGATATCAGTAAGGCGAAGGCGCGGCTCGGGTATGAGCCCGTTTGTGGGACGGAGGAGGGGATAAAGAGAAGTGTTGAATGGTTTATGAATGCCAGAAATAGTAAATGACGGCGTAGTGTTCCGGAAATTCATGGTGTTCGAATATTTGCCAAAGCTGCGGTGGATCGTTCTGACGGTGAAGGAGGTGATGCGCATCATCACTGACATGTCATGAAGAGGACAGCTGTGTGAACGATCCGGAAAGTGTGTGTCAGAATCAAGTTATTTGGCAAATGGTCTTGAAGGTCTCCGACCAAATGCATTTTGCTGCACTCTCAATGCATTCATTGTCTTTCTTTATCTTGTACATCACATTGATGGAGCGACTTCTCCTCAGAAACGGGTCTCTGACACAGCATGTACCAATCCTTCGCTTGGTTCCAATCAAAATGATATCAAAATGGCAGCCCACTCATATAATATAGAAATTCGTAATGAGCCACAGACGCTTGCTTGCGGGCGTAAGACTCGCGCGTAGAATACACGCTCACATTGTTTGCAGAGGTGGTACATCTCATTGTATGGTAGAATCTTTTGATTCTGCTGATCCTGAAACTCGGTACAAAGCGCTTGAGAGATATTCCATAGACGTTTACTTCTCTTTTTATCTTGCGAAAGGCAAGGTGTCATCATCTGATTTTTGCATGATCCGACAGAGCACAACTTTAACCTCAGGATCGGAGTGTACACCAATTCTGCCAGACATTCTCTGTTTAAAGTGGCAATTGACGCAAGCTCTTATCTGACGGACGCGCATAAATTGTTTCCCTCTCTGATGTGTTTTTCTTATGATTTCTTTGGTGATATTAGCTAATTTTTCACCGCCTTAGGTTCACTTTTGTGTTTAGATTTTAAGGGATTGTTCCATAGCAGAAAGTCTTGCACATTATGGTCTCGACATTCGTTGTGCCAAACTTGTCTGTCGATATCCGCTCCAGAGTCTCCATTAGAGATGCGCTATCAAGATAGTCCAGAACCGTCAGATCAGGCCATTTGCTTAAACTGCGGAACTTCTGATACTCCTGTCACCGAAAGACATGATATCCAAAGTACTGAAATTTGGTTGATCCGGTGTGGAAACGTAGAAGGAACTTCATGTAAACATGGTCTCGACGTTTTCCTCGATGTTCGTCTGCGACTTTTCGCTTCTCTCTGCCGGAGTACTCCATGAATCGGCCCGGGATTGTATTTTCTTAGAGACATACAGGTTTAAGCCAAGCGTTTCCAGAAGAGCTCCCACATACTGAATGGGTAGAGTAGCCGCGGGAGCAGGCAGTTGCATAGCTGCGAGGGTATTTTCTACGGCAATCTAGGGAGCGAATCGTGACTCTCGAATTCTCGGTACCGAATATAAATAGTGGGAGATGAGATCTCATTGGTTGAAATCATCTCTTTTTTCAAATTTTTATCCTGGGATATATGGACGCAGGACCATATGGAAGATTTCGTGCGGAATGATTGTGGCAGTAAAAAGTTGGTGCAGGCAGCCACATGGTTTTCGTCGATCTTCAGCCTTCCTCTCACATTTCATCGCCGTTTTTGCTTTGGTTTTATCTGAGTAATGTTTGCACTAGACCGGGGTGATGGAGGAAAGAAATGAGGAATGGGCGGAATAATGTTCCTTGGTCAAATGTTTGGTGGGGTTTGGGAACATAGTGTGTCTCCGCGAGGTCTCAAGTTCTTCCACACACATCGGCGTCCATGAATTGGGGTTTGGTTATCCTTTTCGCGTTTTGTGGAAAGGTTGTAGTGGACAGGAAAGAGATCGAGGAAGGTTGGCGGAGCTTTTATGTTGGCTCTTGTGTAACAGTCAAAAACACGTGGGAATGCTTGTCATGTTTCGAAATCTGTTAAAAGGCTTTTGTGTTTGCGCCGATGATCATCGGTCAATGCAGTAATGCTGATTATCGTCACCACTGAGTCTACTTCTCCCGAGTTCCTCATAGGGGCACCGCCGCACCATCACCCCTCAAATCGCTAGCTCCACTCCACACCCTAACTCCATCGTCGAAATGCTGTCTGATTATCTGGCCTCTGCCAAACATTCCCCTTCCGTATCCCTTCAATTGCTTCACACTGTGGCCTAGCTCCGCCAACTCTTTCACAACCTTCTCATCGATTCCCTCCTCGATGTAAATGGTCGCATCAGTCATTTTCCCATCATCGCCTGGCATACCGCCTCCGATGCAGATTCTCGGCGAATCAAGCGCAGCTTGCGGATGAAGCTTGAAAACCTCCTGATTCAACAGCACCTGGACATGGCCTTGAGGCTGCATGAAGCCACCCATGACGCCAAAGACACTGTGAAGAGACTGGTCCTTGGCAAACGCAATCAGACCAGGGATGATCGTGTGATAGGGCCTCTTGCGCGGAGCAAGCACATTGGGATGCCCAGGAGTGAGACTGAAGTTTGCGCCTCGGTTTTGCAGAGTGAATCCGCAGCCCTTGGGGATGATGGCTGTGCCGTAACCACCGTAGTTGCTGTTGATGAAGGAGATGGCATTGCCCTCGGAGTCGCTGGCACAGAAGTACACCGTGTCGCTCTGAAGGTGTGCTGGTGAGCCGTGGATGGGTGCAGAAGCAGCTTTCTTCGGGTCGAAGAGCTTAGCTCGTTCAGCAAGATATTCAGGGGAGATGAGTTCGGCAGAGGGGACTTTGACGACATTGGGATCGGTGACGAACCAGTGCGCGTCGGCAAAGGCAATGCGGAGGGCTTCGATGACAGCGTGGAGATGCGGCGTGCTGTTGTGGTCCTTGTGCGACCACTTCTGAATCTTGCCTTGCTTCTCGAGCTCTTGAAGTATGCCGAGTGCCATGAGAGCAACGATACCCTGGCCATTGGGAGGGTGTTCCCAGAGTTCGATCCCGTGGCCTTCCGTAGCTTCGCCCACACCTTGCCCTGTAAACTTCAAGGAAATAGGATCAACAGGTTCTGATCCAGTTTCTCCATGATGCTTGAGGTCGTCAATGGTAATGTGACCTCCCAGATCTGACACCACCTTCACGAGCTGTTCTGCCACTTCGCCTTCGTAGAAACCTTTCTTGCCATGCTTGCCGAGGAGCCTGAAGGTATGTGCTAGAGTGGGCATTCTCATTACCTCTCCTGCTTTGGGGGCTCTGCATCCGTCTTTTGCTGACGGGTCCTTTTTCAACATCTCCGCCCCATTTGGAGATGCTCGTTTGATCTGTGATTCACTGGCCGCCCACTGTCGACATGTTAATTCTCAGGGTCTGGAATGAAACCGCAAGACGCTTACAAAAGTAGCTGAGAGTTCAGACACTGCGAACCCATTCTCCGCCAACTCTATCGCCGGGTGAAGAACCTCCTCAAGCGTGACTTTTCCGCTGCCGAACCTCTCCACCACATCTACCCAACCCGCAGCCGCTCCAGGAATAGTCACAGCATGGACACTGTCCAGGGGTATATGACCGCTCTCCCCATCTGGAATATTCAAGTCTTTTCGGATTCGCTCAAGCGTGACATTCTGTCCAGATCTTCCGGAACCATTCAATGCATGCACCTTCTTCGTCTTGGCATCGTAGAACAAGCAGAACAGGTCACCGCCGATGCCCGTGGAGCCTGGTTCGGTGACATTTATGGCCGCTGCTACGGCTACTGCTGCGTCCTAGGAGGAGTTAGTAAGGGGTTGGTAGAGCATTGATTACGTCATACAGCTGCATTTCCCCCTTTTCTCAGGATTTCGATGCCTGCAGCAGAGGCAAGAGGTTGAGTGCTTGATACAATGCCTTTGGTACTGTGAACGACCGAGCGACGACTCGGGAAGTGGATGAATTGTGGTTCTGGGTGAGGGTACACGTTGATACCCATCTTGTAAGGCGGGGTGGGTATCTTAGGATTACGGGAATGCGGGGAGAAGTCCACTTGACTTTGTGTCTAATTGAAATTCCAGTCAGGTCTTTTATATTCCACGTAAATCAAAGTGACTCACCCTCCAGAATATCTCAAGAGTTTGGTCTCTGTACTTTTCCGAGATTTGAATATGTTGTCCGTATTTCAAGGAACAGGCGGCTATTCCCGGAAGCGAACATATTCACGGCCTACTACGCATCCAATCATTGTAACTAAATTACCCCTAATGACACATCTATTTTCATATGAGCGTAGAGAAACCTAGCGATGTGTCATCCAAGTTCCTAGAAGGGAAAGCCGGAGATCGATAGAGTCTTGTCACGTGGGGGAATGACGCGCCAAGCCGAGGTCCATTTCCGTGGTCGCGTCCGAGGTCGGAAAACTTTCATGACGGTTTCTCAACATTCCGAGAATGACAACCGCGCCATGGATATGCCGCACTTGTCTCTCACGCTTTGTTAGGCCATTGGCAAGAAGCAATGCTCGCTTTCAGAGCACCCGTTAGTCCCTTTGCCCTCTTTTCCGCTTGACATTTGCTCATCGCTGTAGGATCCTCAAAGGAGACGATCCCAGCGGGACTCCTTGCACGTGCCCGTAATATCGCCATTGAGCATAAACAATTGACAGAGAAGCTTGCAAATGGCTTTGATGCGCGTGCGGCGAAGAAAATTGGCGAATACAGTCCCATCGTGGAAGCGTTGAAAGCATGGGAAAAGGCAAATGAGGTCCGTAATCAGCAGCGTTCAAGCAAGAACGTGATTCCTTCGTTTTGATTAGCGATACTGACATATCCTGAAGTCTGTTGGGGAGCTAACCTCACTTATCCATGACCCTGAAACCGATGCTGAGCTGCGTGAGCTTGCTGCGGAAGACCTAAGTGCAACACGAGCGACCCTCGCGGATGCGTCTCAGTCTCTCACTACATCGCTTGTGCCGGTGCATCCTTTCGCACATCTACCGTGCTTGATCGAGATACGCCCTGGAGCTGGCGGTTCGGAAGCCGCGATTTTCGCCGGAGACCTCTTGCGCATGTATCAGGCGTTTTGCAACCGCAAAGGACTACGAACGATGCTGCTGAAGTATGAAAATATAAACGGAGGGCAGGAAGCCGGAATACCATTATCAGAAGCCATTCTCGAAGTTGGCACGGAGAACGCTTATGGTATGTTCCGGTGTGAGGCAGGCGTCCATCGGGTACAGCGGGTGCCTGTAACCGAGTCCAAAGGACGGACACACACAAGTGCGGCTTCTGTGCTTGTCCTTCCAAGTATAGAGGAGAACACGCTCGGTGAAGAGGACGTGGATGATCCGGAGAGCGACTACTATATCGACCCGAAGGAAGTGAAGACGGAGGTTATGAGGGCGCGGGGCGCTGGAGGACAGCATGTGAACACTACGGAGTCTGCAGTGCGTCTGACACACATACCCACGAACATCGTGGTCTCCATTCAGGATTCCAGATCACAGCCCAAAAACAAGGAGAAGGCGTGGCGCTTGCTACGGTCTCGTGTGGCGCAGCTCCGGAGAGAGAAGAGGGAGGAGGAATTGGCAGCCATGAAACGCAGCGTGGTGGGGGTGGCGAAGATGGGTCGCGGCGACAAAGTTAGGACCTACAACTGGGGTCAGCAAAGGGTGACGGATCATAGGAGTGGCACCACGGTCCACGATCTGAACGACGTTATGGACGGTGGTCAGACCCTCGAGAAAGTCATGGAGAGCGTGCGCAACTGGCTCATGGAGCGCGATGTCGAAGCCCTCCTCGCCGAGGAGTCGTCGAGCAAGACGTGACGGGAACATCCCCCTTCCAACAATTCGGACGAACGCGTGGAGCACGGGAGTGACGCTACTAGTCTAAATTCTGTCATGAAAATTCAATGCTACGCCCGGCTAGTTTCCCTCGCGAAAGGATTACACCGAGCACTGTTCCTCCTTTCACCCGCGTCTATACAGTGGACTGACTGATTTTCTACTCCGCTGGAAATGTGTACCGTCATCTCTGAGGGCGTGTCGCCAGAGTGTTGACCCCTAAGGCAAACTGGACTGAAGCCCTCATGCTTTGTGGACAACATTTGTCTCTTTCAGCACCTTCACCCTGCCCGCTGAAAACAATGTAGATTCGATTGGCACCAGACAACGATCATATTCCGGATTGGGGCAGATCGAGGTATGCCTTCTTTGTTGGTCTTTCGATTTATTTGTTCCCTAGCTCAGGCACTTGCGTCCCGCCAGGGACCGACAATTAAGGACCGAACCAATCCTCCCATGCAAGCCGGCCTCAAAAATCTGGTTGCGGACGCCATTTCTCCTCCTCCCATGCGGCTTGCTGGGCTGGCTTCTGACCCGTCATGGCCTGGGAAATGCACATCCTAAGACCTATGGCACCGGATGGCTTCACTGACAGGACCGTTCACTCTGAGCGGATTGCAGGAGAGAAAGAAATGATTATGCTGAAAGACAGAGACTGACTATCACTACATAATTGCAGTCTATGTTCGAACCTACCTTATGCGCACTTCTTTGTGCCTACATAGTAGTCAACGGTTCCAAGCTCCACTCAGCCGATAATCAATCGGATTCGAATCACAAACCGTACTAGGCCTTCTTCAGACCCACATTTTCCAAGGTAATGGAAGAGTTACGGGTCGTGAATATTCGGTCGAATAGGATGCTGTCCGCATGCGGATTGCTGTGGTTGGTCCGCTTTATGATATGCTACGACTCGATGCTTAGCCGTGAATGGCGATAACTTGACGTTCTGAGGTAGCATCATCAGAAACCAGCGATATGCTCTCCAGTTGCGACGGTCTCGCCGACCTGGCGGTGTTGACTATCTGCTGCTAATGATGTGTTAACCGGTAGGTCCAAGGGATTGGCCAACGGGAAGTTGGGAATGCCCAAGCTACATCAACATGGTCGAGTCAGCCCGATGTTCAACTGGGATGCACCACAAGCTCGAACATACCGTTGAGAAACTCTAACAGGTGCATTCAAGCTTTCCCCGCATAGTCCCATGCCGAGCTAATGCCGCTACCCCGGATTTTCAGCTTAGCTCTCAGTCACCCGCCCTAGCACAAGGCTCACTGACAACAACTGCGCCAGTCGAGACCACCAAAGGGATTGACTTTGTATGATGCGGGGATCTGTCCGGGAAGGAATATATGATGGACTTGCTTACCCGTCTACCTAGGGTTCCTGTACTCTGTGTTCCCTACCTCTCTTCCTTTCCATCCTTCAATTCCTGCGGTCCTCTTCACATACACGGCTTCCACAATGGCAATTGATCATGCTGCAGATCCGGTGAGGGACGAAGAGACGCAGACGTCCGAGAAGGGCACTACCACCTTCATCGAGAATGCCGATGGATCCCAGGCGGAGAGCTCCCTCAACCTGGAGAAAGAGCGTACGCTTGATGGCATCGATATACAGAACTCTCGGGCTTTCCTTGGGGACGATTCTGATGGCAAAGTCACCTGGACTGTCCGCAGTATCTTTGCCGCTATATTCCTTGCTGGGTTGTACACAGGTAAGTCCATTTGTACCAGACTTGATAATCACGGCCGAACTGACATTGGGTCAGGGTCACAGATTATCTTGTACTTTGCCGGCGGGTCGCTATCCTTCATAGAGCACGACCTCGAGCTTTCAAGAAGAGCCGCTTGGCTGCCGACCGCAAATATCTTAGCAATCGCTGCCGCCTGCCCTTACGCCGGCTATCTACAAGACCTATTCGGAAAGAGATACATTGCGCTTTTTGGTGCAGCATGCATTTGCATTGGTTGTCTGCTCGTTGGTCTTGCTCAAAATTTCGCCTGCGCTTTGGCTGGCATGTCCTTGTCTGGGATTGGTGCTGCTATTGGCGAACTGACTGGTCTTGCTGGGTAAGTATCAAAGCAGTGGCGTGTACCATCATCTACTGACTTCTTCAGTCTTGCCGAAGTCGTCCCTGTCAAGCATCGTGGTTATTCTCTTGCCCTAGTTACCGCATTCGTGATCCCATTCTGTCCGTATTTGATGTACGTGCAGCTTTGGTCGAACAAGCCCGGCCCTGGCTGGAGATGGGGACCGTGGACATCACTGTAAGAGTCGCGCTTCATGATGTGCAGCACGAAATCTCATGAGCAATAGCACCTACAACGGGATCGTCGCAATTGGGCTTGCCCTCACCTACTTCCCCCACAATCACACACGCGCTGAGGGTTTCTCTCGTCGAGCTATTTTGAAGCGCATTGATTATCTCGGTGGTGTCCTCTCTATCACTGGCTTGACCCTTTTGTGAGTCCAAGCTGTCGGTGTTATGGTTCCCTGACTAACATGTACAAGCCTCGTTGCTCTGCAATCCGGCGGCTATACGCACGCCTGGACTAGTGCCTACGTGCTCTGCACTTTGGTCATCGGTCTCATGCTTATCTTTGCCTGGGTGGTCTATGAGTGGAAGTTTGCCCCCCATCCCATGATTCCCCATGAACTTCTCAACGGTCAACGGATTGTCGGTCTGGCTTACGCAATCGCCTTCACTGCCGGCATGAACTTCTTCTCCATTCTCAACTTCTTCCCGCTCACATTCTCCTCCGTTTATGACCCTGATCCGGTCCAGATCGGTCTGAAGGGTCTGCCGCCGGCTTTCTCCACGACCATCGGTGCCGTTGGTTTCAACGCGGCGCTGTCCAAATTCCCAAACCGGAACCGTGAGATCCTACTCATAGCCGTCCTCTGCATGACGGCTTTCGGTGGAGCCCTCTCTGCCAGCACCCCTGAGAATCCCAAGCTTACAGTCGCCTTTGGCACCCTAGCCTCTTTCGGTGTCGGCGGCGTTCTTGTGCCTGCTGCCACCATCGCAATGATCGTCACTCCCGATGCCGTCATCACAACCGCTGCAGCCCTCTCGCTCAGTATCCGTACCGTTGGCGGCTCCATCGGCTACTCAATCTACTACAACATCTTCGCCTCCAAGCTGGAGTCCAACCTCCCCAAACTCGTCGCCGAGTACGCCATCAAGGCTGGCCTTCCACTCTCGTCCGCGGAAGCCTTCGTCGGCACCTTCCTCGCTACACCCGAGAGAATCGCCGAAGTAGAGGGCGTGACGCCTGGAGTTATTGCCGGCGCCACTAAGGGGTCGCAGTGGGCGTTCAGCGAGAGCTTGAAGTATGTCTGGTTCACGTCGATTGCGTTTGGGTCCTTGGCGGTGATTTGCGTTCTGTTGCTACCGATCACGAAGAAGTATCAGACGAATCGTGTTGCGGTGCAGATTAAGTGAGGGGTTGGGCGAGGGAATGGGAATGGGACGGGAAGGGGATGGGTGCGACTGGGGTTTATGTATAAGGATGGAATGGTTCACGGATTGCTACAATGATTATGATTGGATTGACTGATCTAAGTTATGCGTATGTTTTTGAAGTAGGATATTAAATTAGAGATGTCTGGTTATGATGTCGCGTTTGCGTAGCAGTGCTCTGCTTGGTGCGCGTGTCTCGTCATGTTATGTATACACCTCTTCCTGCTCATGAACGTTGCCGAACGACACTGGTGTAGAGTACTTTCAGCCTGCGATATCTGCCCCAATGATCCACTTCCCCGTTCTTCTCTACTTAAAGCTAGGCGGATATCCCATTACGCTGGGACAGACATGCTTTGTCTCCATCATGCTTACCATGATGATGAATATCATCATCATTATTAAAGGTATCACCACCCCAAGCCCGGTGCCGCAACCCAGGTCCCAACCAAAGACGTATCCAGCAGACCGAACTCAGAGATCTCGAAACATCTTAACTGAAGAAGTCAATCTCCGCCCATGCAAGATAGGCCGCTATGAGTTTAGACCCGTATTTCTAGTCAAGTGGAGTCATTTTGACGGGCCGGATGAGTTTTTTCTCTTCTGTTCTGCTTCTAGGGAAGATGTCTGTCCATTCTATGGTGGTAGGATATTTTGAAAATACCGGAGCGCTTGACCGGGACATCGAATGTATTCTTTTGGGCTTGGGAAGGCCGAAGCCCGGCATCGTACATCTTTCTTTCTTGGGATTGGGAAGACACGGCTGTTGGTGGTGCGGACATCTCGGGCATTTCACCGAGTTTTGGAGTCCACTAGTAAGGGGTGTGTGGACATTAGATACATGTTGGCTTTTTCATTGGCTGGGTTCTCCGTAGGTCCAACCAGAGCGGTGTTTGTTGAGAGTTTGGTATCAATTAATGTGTTTCACATGAGTGTAAATGGGTTCGAGTGTCTGTTCCTACGCCCTGCGGACATGAGCCATTTTCTCGGCTTTTGGAACGACAAATTTCTCGGTGGGCAACATGGCTGCCGAGAATGTTCTATTTTGAGTTTCTGGTTCGAATCCGCGTTTTTGATTGTTTTGGAAGGGAGTGAGCGCGGACATTTGTTAGCTCGTATGTTATTTTGATCTGCTTGAAAACGCTCCGTCAATGGTGCCGCTATAGAGCATGTTGCCTCGCAATGTTGTTCAACATGTAACATTGAAAATCGTTGTCGGAATGGAAGATGGAACAACGTTATCATCTTCCCGAAACATTGGTATTCGACTTGTAGAGGAGGAAAGTCACTGGGAACCATTGGAACCGCGCATTTCGATTTCGAGGACGTCGATGGCATATGATATGGTTCCCAGCGTTGTTGAATCTGGAAGAGGGTACTACATGATCCATGACGACCCGACATTTAGTTTTGAGTACTATTTCAAAGAAGAATTCTTCACGTGAGTTAGTCATAGGGGGCTTGGAGTGCATGTTGGTTGACGTGGCCATGGAGTCTTTTGAGGTAAGATTCTGGTTGCGAACGACGGCTTCAAGCGGAGGACATAGTAGATTCCGAATGTGAGTTTATTCGTTTCCACTGCGCGGATCTGCGACTCATTCTGGAATGCTGTCGCGAATTTAGTTCGGAAGAGGGCAATTCCCGAACTGCATTCATTGGCCGAGAGTTCTTTTTTGACCCCAGTTTCAAAGAAAGGCTTTCCACGTACAAAATGTGACTTGAACTCTCATTTACTAGATTGAACACTTCTTTCTGTGCTTTATATCGCGGACGTCTTCTCGTGGCCAGAAGTCTTCATCTGAGGTTCAAATCGTCCAGGTGATCCATGCCCAGTATGGGGCTCCAATGTAGCGATGGGCGGGGACATTCACTCCCATTTGCGTAGCTTTTTTTCTTAGCAATCTCCTCATCCCATTTATCCCCTTTGATGCCTTCCGGGGCCATCCTTTGGGTGTTTTCAAAATTGCAAACGAAAAAATATGTTGACAGTTTTGGTTGAACATGTTGGCTGGAAGTAGATGTTCTTCGGTTGGATGTGATGGTTTATGAAGAAGGCCTTGGTGGTCGGGGCATGAGCACTGCTCTGGCATATTGGATCCGGGGATTCCTCAGAGCTGCCGGACCGAGACGTGCTGGCTCTCCATGACTGAGGGTGCGCCAGAAAAATTTTTTCGTGTAGTTGTAGCTTCCGTCAATCCTGGGCTGCCGTTGAAATCAGGCGAGTCTCCTTCTTCGTCTGTTAGGGTATGTTCTTGCATTTCTGTGTTCGCTTGCACTTTGAGAGAAACCTGTGGGTTGACGCGGCCGGTTGACCTTTGGCTTACTGGTCTGGCGTACCAAGCCATAAGGGATTGTGAGAGAGCTTTCGGTGTAGACGGAAACGCCAGCAGCACAGTTGGCGGACATTGCTTCGATACGACTCTGGTTCAGAAGTCTGTTAAGGGACATCATCTGCACGGATTGAAATTGAGCACAAAAGTCAATCCCGCAACGTAAAAAACGTGGCGGACATAGTTGCTGTGCTCCATAATTCGAGAGCTCCTTATTTTAAAAGCGCGGACAAGGAGTGAAACATCGTGCGTCGAACGCTGCTATTGTTTTTTTGTAGGACCGACGCAGACATTTGGTCGACGACGGGTCACTTTGAGGACGTTGTCTGGGGGAGAAAAGGTCATGCACAGCTATAATGGTCTTTAGTGAATAGGTACTTTGGTAACAATGTCCCAGCCGGACATTTGCCAACATCCATAATCTTTAGCTCTGAACGATGGTTATTTGATCAGTCGCTGCAGGCATGTACCTGGCAAGAAGTACTTTTGACTCGGAAAGAGTGCCGTGGGTTCTGGCAGGGGAGTTCGTGCGCGATTAGAAACTGTGTCTGCCCCAAATCCATTGGAGAGTTGCAACGATCTCAGGGACATAATGATAAGATATACTCGTAGCAAATCTTGTAGGAATGTAGTCCAGTGGATAAGGATGCCTTGGTATCTTCATTTGTTCGTTACAGAGTGATGCCGCTTCCATTGCAGCCTGTAGAGCCAAATTCGAATTGTTGTAGACGGAATGCATTCCTTAAGTCGCACGAATGGTCGTTATAGAAAAGCTCTAATTCGTTTCGGGGTTCGGACTCATGGCAAGTGTGGCCTGGCCTTGTGTACGTTCCACTGCCGCTATAATGTAAACCAAATCCATATCCAGCGTCTCAGGGAATTTGATCTTGACAGCTCCGGATCCTAAAGAACCATACACGGATCTGGTACGATTTTGATTTTCATGCATTCCGGGATGGCAAGTTTGAGTCCAATTACCAAGTCTTCCGGACATGTGAAAACTTGTCCGGTATCGATCGCTTCAAGGCGTCGAGAACATGCTTTGTTCTCATTTTCTTTTTTTTTTGCTTTCGGGAAAGCGACATTTCCGGGTTTGATCATATTCCAAAAACGATGGACATATCCAGAGTTATTGCGTGATTTTGAAAATTCTCTGTTTTCGATTGCTTCAAGGCGTCGAGAACATTTCCTGCCCGGCTTGTCTCTTTTGTCTTTTTCTTTCTTTCGGCAAACCGACATTGTGACTGTACTCCCAAAACGCGGACATTATTGAGGCAACTGCGTGATTTTGAAAGAATCTCCATGGATAGGGCGTATGACTAGTCTAACCTGCCATATACAGTTGGCACAAGCGTCTATCGTGCGTCCAGGACATGAATTCGTCGAATTTGATTTTGGGAATCGTGGAATTGAAGTTGTGGAGGCAGAGAAGAGAGAGGGTAGGCCATGAGGATGCTGATGTACTTCTGCTGCACGTGATAGCAAAAGTCATAGGACGGCTTATGTTTCAATGTCTGCCGTGAGGGTGCCGATGTGATTAGGTCTGTGGTCACGAAAACGCTGAAGTTGGAAGAATGGTTAGCATTCGATTCTCCTCACCTTTGCAGTCGCCCAAAAGCAGTGCATGGCCTATGGAATAGGGCATTTTTGTTGTTTTCGGATTTTTGAATTCTGATGATGCACAATATCATCACTGCACCACAAAGACCGAATACCGTCTGCTTGGTCAAATTGCTTCTCATGTTCTACCCTATACCAAAACCAGACTCCCCTTTTCTCACCTCCCTGACGGTGAGCCTATTCTCTCCTACAGCCTTACCCTCGCCCCAGGGTCAATCATATTTTCCACCCAGCTCAGAGTATACCTTCGCTTTTCTGCTTTCCCATCCGTGACCTCAACATCTAGTTCATCGCTCCGTCACGGTAGTTCCCTGCACGATTACTGACGGAGGTATACATAAGAGGTTGGTAAAGCCTTCTGCCCAACTCTTTAATTGTGATGAGGCGCCGCTCTTCCCGTCTTTTCAGCTGTTACCTTGCTAAAGAGTAGATGGAACAGCTTGATTGCAGATTCCATGATACGATATTCAGGAATAACTGACGCGCTGCTCCTGTGCTAACAAGTTGGGTGAATCGTGAGACAAGGCTGTGGGTTGATGGAGAGCTTTCCATTTAAGCCGCGTCGGCTCTTTGTGAACATCCGGGTGAGCATAATAGTCCAACATATCGGATCGGAAACCCACACGGAGCGCCTGACTCGATTGCTCAACGTTCAATGCCGTTGGGTTGACTAAAAAGCCAACATTGTGCGCTTTCAGTGTTGCTGCCGGCTAGGAGATCTGCCTGACAAACTTGAGTTTGCAGGGCAAGCGTCATACCAATAACATCCAGATCCAGGGGACTCTGACAGCCTGGAAGCCTGTGATCTTGAAAGATAGCCACCGGAGCTGCGTGATATCATCATCTCATCTCGCGATCACTGTCCTCATCCTCACTCCCGGGAACCGAGGAAAGTTCCGAAACGGACCCAAAGCTGATCGAAAAGCTCTTATTCCTCCCCGACTTCGGCTGTGGCGCCATCCCCTCCGCAATCTCCAAAACCTCGAGTAAGCCTAGCAGCCTTTTCGAGCTCGCTTCCAGCAGCATCTTAGACTGTTCTTCTTCAGCCGCATTACCCTTCTTGCCTTTAGCAGTGCCATAGACGCTGGTTCTCTCCTGAATGCCTTTCTCTACTGCTGCCCTGAGAGTGGCGGTGGCGTGGAGTCCCTTGATGCTCATCATGTAGAGGAATATTTGCTCTAGGATCAGGGAGATTTTGGCATTTGTGGAGTAGCTCTGGGTAGCTGCGCGACGAGGGAGCATGTACTGCTCCAAGTGCGCTTGTGTTGGTTCGATCTTCGTGTAGTCGGGCAGCTGGCCAGAAACGAGAGGGAGGAGATGGTTTGCATTGAGGGCTGTCTGAGTGAGGCCATCGAGCTTGGATGTGGAAAGGAGTACGCTAAAGAGCATTGTGGGAAGATGGGTGCATTCCTCGGTAAAGGGGTCGAACAGATCGCCCAGATGGGTGAATTGCATGGGAAGTGCTTGAGCGACTTTGACGAGGAGCACAATGAGACGCTGCCGGAGACCAACCGCTTCCACGCCTCCGAGGCGGTTGGTGGCGTCCTCAGCGTCACACGAGCCAGACGTGTCATCCTCTTCAGAATCCTCATCTTCACTCTGCACAGCCAGCTCTTTTCTGGATGTCGCTCTTCTTGATGTTCTAAATGTTGCCGTAGGTGCGTCAGCCATGGCTTCGTCGTCATCATCCTTTTGAAACTCCCCCAAGTTCCCGTTATCGATATCGATTTCAGCCACGCTCTTTTCATCAAGTTGTATTTGCTTCGGCTCCGCGGTCTCACGCGGCCACACCTCAGGGAAAAGACTCTTAGATTGTGAAGTGCCCCTAGCGAGTATAGCTCTGATAATTCTCCGCCTGTTACTCCGGTTCATCGGGTCTTCGCTGGAGATGTACTGCCATAGCAGAGTTTCCGTCATGGCATCCTCGGCGTCCAGGTCTTGTTGCCTGCACCGCCGTGCCTGTGCCTCCCATCCCGCCTCGAGAAAGTTCAACATAACATCCAGCCACAGCTTCCACCGCTCCCAACGCTTCTTATGTGCCACCGAGCAGTTGAAAGCCCAGCCTACCGCATGCCAGAAATCCGTTGCTCGAAACCAGAGGGAGTTCTCGTTGGCAGGAGCGCCAGTAAGTCGCTCCAAGTCGCTTTCACTGGCCGGTGAGCTCTCTGTGGCTGCGCGGTATCCCAGAGTCCCACGCCTTGATCTCTCGTCTGGGAAACTGAATGCGCGTCGCAGATCCTCGTGTAGGGGAGATATAGTGCATTGTACGTTGTGCAGGTACCGCAACGCCATGTCAGAGCCTCTTTTCTGTTCCGCGGACTTCGCTTTCGTCGTTATATTCGGGTATACAATGAGTGTGGAGGCGAGCGCGAGCTGCGGGGCTTGGGCGAGGTATGCATGATATCGTTTCGCCGGCGTCGCGATGGACGTGTTTGTAGTCAGGAGGGTATCAAGGAAGGAGTAACCGGCGACATCTGAGCTAATTAGTGTGGTTCAGAAGAAGGGGCCATTTAAGTTACATTGTCCCGCCTCCAGGTAGGCCTTCGCGTGGTTGGCGAGCTCATATGTCAATGGCCGCGCGGGACGGTCGAGCGACATTCTCGGCTGGTTTCCAAGAGCGCCGACCGCGGGAATGCGCTCTATACTGTTGGGAGCTGCGGGTTGATCCACCAGGGGATTTTGTTTGCTGGTCATGTACAATCGCTACGTGAGGTTGTATATCCCACCGCGCGCGTCGGGAAGAAACGCGTGGTCACGTCGTGGATTTAGCTTGACGCTAAACCAATTACGGTATACTGTATATTTCACATCCTCGACCCAGCTGGAAGACCTGAATGTGAGCAACTATATGCACCGTCTTGTCCAAAGGCGAGCTATAATAATACTATGTCAAATATTTAACGTTTTATATGTTCATATCACCCGATTTACTGAAAATTGAAATTGTATGTATTGATATGCATATCATAATGACCTTCGGGAAGGTCTTACAAAAATACAGCTTATTTCTCGTCCTTGGGGACCAAGGACACAAAAGGACAGAGAAAGAAACTGCTGCGCGAGAACGCCAGACCATCAAGTAATTCAGACCTCTGTATGAGAAAGCAAAAGAGTGCTCTAGCCCGTGTTTTGCTGGCCGGGCAGTGCTATTCCGCATGTACACTGCACTTCAGTCGGATGTCCGCGGAGATATGAAAAGCAAGAAGAAAGCGAAAGGGCTGAAGACAACTGCAAGAGTCCTCCCACGAGTCGGGAATCACTCACTTTGGAACCCCCGCCACCAAGCCGCGAACTGAGTGTCCGACCACCAGTGTGTAATGCGGCGGAAGAATTGAACCTCAGCACAAACACCGAGCACGTTCAACTCGTGCTTGAAGGCACGTTGGTAGGCTGCAACATCACCCTTGAGCCAGGTCTTCGCCCGTTCCTTCATGGCAATGATAAGCGCCAGGTTGACCTGGTACTCTGTTGCTTGTATCCCACCATGGAGAGAACCGAGATCGGGATAGAGACTAGGGCTAAAGCGCGCCGTTTTACCTTGACGAAGCTCAAAACAAGCCTTCACAGCGTCTTGGACCGTGCCGAGCATCCGGGTCCGAAAGTACTCGAAAGCCGTGTCCAGAGCGGAGAATTGCGCATCGTTGATGCACTCTTCTGGGAGCCATTGAATGTAATCTTCAAGGTTCGCTACAAGCGTGCTGCATTGGGCGTCCATTGTGGCTGATCCCACGGACGTAGCAACGGGTGAAAACTTATGTCGGTCGAGCGTGGCGGCGGGTTCCAGCATGATACCTCGACACATAGGACACTTGACCCAGTCACCTGGCCAGCGTGAATGGTTTTGGACCAATTCGTTATAGCACACAGTGCATAGGGTATGGGTGCAAGGAGCGAACACGGGTCTGTCCGCGTCAGTGTCGCCACCTGCATTCGTGTGAGCAGAAGCCGATGCTGAAGTTGACGAGATGATTAGTTTGCGGTAGCAAACGGGACACTCGCTGTCTCGAAGCTGCTCTACGGTACCCAATTTCGTGGCAACGTCCGAGGGCCGCTCCACACCCACCTCAAGAGCGATTATCTTCTTGCATCGGTTCCGTGCGAAGAGCAGGTGCTTAGAAAAGCAAACGTACGAGCTGTTAGCATAGATCTCCTGGTATAAAGGAGTCCACTGCCCTTTCTCCTGCGTATGCCGATGAAGGGAGTTACCGTTACGATTTTGGTAATGGAGAAGTTTGGTTGAATCTATCTTCGGCGGGTTGTCTGTAGTTGCGCTTGGTGAATAGGGGGTTAACAGCCAGATATTTAATTAACAGTAACGACCGTCGACGTGGGCTACATTGTTTAACTCGAACACGAACATTATATACGTGGGCCACAGTGTACACCTAGAACGCGAATGTTATATACTTTGCCCAAATTGTATACTCGCGAACATTTTATACGTACCGAGCAGTTGTTGTGAATGAAACTGCCTTGCCCTCATTGTGTACCCATAGGCCCGGATTTTGACGCGATACCGATATGGTGGGCGTGGATACAGCAGTCCCAGACCTGAATCTCCTGACATCCACATCACCGTGGAATTGCCAGATTGGAGGTGAATGCGTGAGAGCCCTGATGAGATATTCAATGCAAAGCATGGCCAAACTCCGTCCTCTTGCGAATGCCCATGCGCAGTGTGATTTCCACCCTCAAGCTGCCCAACTCCGCCAGGCTTGGAAAGCTCATAAAACCGCCGGCGGTTCCTCTACCATTGCTTGATCAAGGTGTCGACGCGGATTTTCCCTGCACCCATATGGAAGATGACCATCCAGAGGAGTTGCCCATGGTTTTCACGAGCAAAGAGTATGAAGGGAAGGTGGGAGGTGCCAGCAAAGAAATACGAGAGAGGTTCAGTTGCGCCGCCCTCAACTGGAAGAAGGGCCACGGATAAAGTAGGAAGCGGAAGCACACGCAGGTTTGCGTATTTAAGACTGTTTCAAGAAGGATGCAGTTGCGATGCCTTGTAGATAGTTTGTTTGACTTCCGAGCTCCCATGCCCGGTTTCACTTCCGCAATGTCTTGCTCGCAATTAACGATCAAGTAGCGCTGTTTTCCTACTTCTGATCACGCGGCTTGGTCGGGTGCGGGATGTTCCATGCATGGAAAGAGTGATTGTCCAATATTTGCATTGTGAAGTTTGCGCGCTTGGCTACTGTAATTCAGATACAGCACGGTTGATATGGGTAGCTGTGCGGGGGTCACGGCTTACAGAGGCAGTGATAGCCTAACGGAATACCTTAAGAGAAGTGTATGTTAGTGAATGCTCTGCAAAGTTGGCTTCCGATGCTTTGCTAATACCAGCAAGGAGTACCCAACCCCATTGTCTGAAAATTTCGAGTCCATAAGTCTGGTATTTCATTCGTATGAATATAGGGTATCCCTGAATTCAACCACAATCCATAGGCCGGAGGTTATAACTTTTCTATTATTCTAAAGATTGAGAGTAGTACAGGACCTGTATCTTTCGTCCAGGAACCAGAAGCAATGCCGCCGAGAGTGCGGCGAACCTGCAGATAAACGAGAGTGGGGATCTAATCCGATACAGTGGGGATCTTAAATCGGAATTTTCTTGCGGACTGTCCTAAACATGATGGAAAGAAATCGTCAACAGACTTGCGCTTCATGGTGTTGAAAATACACGCGGCGATTCAACCCACCTGCGTCATCAGCCCCACCAATTGCGGGACGGTGCAGGGACAGGGGCCACCTTAATTGAACATCACCATTCGAGGATTCGCTCCACCATACAAGTATCTCGGAAACTTGATTCGAAACTGGTTCATATTTTTGTTAATCCACCATACCCTTGGCTCTGCTAGGACTGGCGTCCCTGAAAAGACGCAATTCTTGGATTGGGATCGTCCATGTCCGCGTCTGCACCTACCACAGGAAAGAACTCGCTGCATATCTAAAAGATCTGCGATTTCCTTTGCTATGATGACGTTCCTTTATTGTCACTTCGCCGGCCCTCAGAGACCGAGTTCTGAGCAGAGATTTGAGAGATTACCCAGTTTGAGATGTTGAAAAGCGTATTACATCATGGCAGTTTGGGGACTCCTTCAAAAGACATCTTCGACTTGGGCCGTTGTCCGGTAATCAACGTTCCTGGTTCTCTTCTTTCCTTTTCCACGACCTTTCGATCATGAGCAATATTTCAATGGCATCTTTACACTCTGGACCGGCTTTGGCTCGTCGCCTTATAGCTGTCCCTGCTGCCTCTCGACCGTTACCGCTCCGCAGAATTCCCGTTTCAAATCAGCCCCTCCGACGATGCCTCGCTACTCAATATGTTCAAACACCGGTCTCAACCAAGGATGAGTCTGAGACACGTTCAATGTCCACCCCCATAGGAGAGCACGATCTGCGTCGGAAGATGTTCAGTCGTTTCGACTTGACTGGCAAAGTGTTTGTTGTCACAGGCGGCTCCCAAGGGCTGGGTCTTTCGATGGCGGAGGGGCTCGTAGAAGCTGGCGGGACTGGTGAGTGGGCCCACGTCTCATTATAAAGGTCTTAATTTAACAATGTCCCCAGTCCACTGTCTCGATATACAGCCTGAACCGTCCGATAATTTCAAGACTGCAAAGGAACGCATAAATCCGGATTTCGGCGGCGGCCTAGAGTACCATCAAGTCGATGTCAGCGATGCAGAGGGCCTGGAGACTGTCGTAGGGAGGATAGCGGACCAGAAACAGCGCTTGGATGGCCTGATCGCCGCGGCGGCAATCCAACACATCTCTCCTGCTCTGGAATACTCGACCGACGACATTAGAAAGATGCTGGACGTGAACTACATCGGTGTGTTCCTCTCAGCACGGACGTGTGCTCGGCAGATGCACAAATATAAGATCCCTGGGTCAATATGCTTGATTGCCTCTATGAGCGGCCTCATCGCCAACCGGGGCCTCATTGCGCCTGTCTACAACTCTTCGAAAGCCGCAGTGATACAACTGGCGCGTAATCTGGCCATGGAGTGGGGCAGGAAGCAACCTGACGGGACCGGCGGAATAAGGGTGAATGCTCTCAGTCCCGGGCATATCCTGACACCGATGGTGGAGGAGAACTTTAGGAAGGGCGAGGCGGATCCGAAAGAGTGGGAGGATAATAATATGCTGGGAAGGATAAGCAGACCGGAGGAGTTCAAGGGGGCCGGAGTCTTCCTCCTCAGCAATGCGAGCAGCTATATGGTAAGTTAAGCGTCCTCATTTACTTTAGACGGGTTACTGAATATGCGTAGACTGGCCAGAATCTTGTCGTGGATGGCGGTACCTCTGCATGGTAGAACTTCGACAACTGTGCTTTTTTTGAATGCTAGCAGTTTGGCGACTTGGACCTCAGAGAGGTCAGCATTAGAACGGCATTGTTTACAACGAGAAACGAGATAAGCTCCATGAAGGATCGTCCATATAGACCTTTTTGGTAGATCTTCATGCATGAATGGGAACAAATAGTATGGCGCATCTTTCTTCTCTGCGTGAGAGTGACTTTTGATGCCAAGACAACAATACACCAAAACGTTAAGGGCTTAGCGCCATTTTCGGACCAACTTGTCCTTCCGTAGCCATGCAATTGTAGAAACACCACCTCGAACCACAGAGCTCACAAGTCGAGCTACACCATTCGCCCATCATGGACCGATTGTCGCGGTTATTGAGTGCAATACTGCTACTCATCGCCCTGCCACTCGCAGCAGCCCTCAAATTCGAAATCCACGCCGTTCAACCGCACGACGCGAACAAGTACGAGCGATGCATACGGAATTTCGTGGCCAAGGATCAACTGGTGGTGGTTACGGCCATTGTCAGTGGCTATCGTGGGGATGGACAGACGCTGAATATGCATGTATGTTGGAAAGGCTTTACGCAACGGATGCAGGGACTGATTCTTGGAATTGTAGATCCGCGATGCGATGGGCAATGATTATGGAAGACCAAAGGACGTATACGGCGAGAACAGATACGCCTTCACCTCTCACGCTGATTCGGCATTTGATGTTTGCTTCCAAAATGTCCTCAGCGGCAGCAGTACGTCTTGACACACAAATCGAGACCGAAGTAGTCCAACAACTCACAACCTCGTAGCTTCAGGCACCGCAAACCCATCGCGCCACGTGGAACTAGATATAGATATAGGAGCGGACGCCAAAGACTGGTCTGCGATCCAAGCCAGCGAGAAGCTGAAGCCCGTCGAAGCGGAGTTGCGCCGGATCGAGGAGGTCATTGGCGAGATTGTTTCCGATATGGATTATCTGAGGGCGAGAGAACAGAAGCTGAGGGATACGAATGAGAGCACGAATGAGCGCGTCAAGTGGTTTGCTTTCTGCACAATGGGCATGCTGGTGGGCTTGGGTGTTTGGCAGATTGTGTATCTGCGGGCGTACTTCAGGAGCAAGCACCTTATCTAGGCGGGATGAGCGTGGAGGTTGACCGAGGATGGAGTTTTCAAGAGCGGATTGGATACAGAGCTTCGAAGATGGAGGCATGTTTTGATGTCGAGGGATTATCGATGTACAATGGGGCAGCCGAGTGCAGAACCGGCAGCTGGTCTGGCGTCACAGGGTTTCAGCATCTTGCATCATGTTCAAGGGCCTACACTGAATCGCTTAGTGGTGTCAAGATGCCTATTCAAGCAGGGAATTTTTTGACCCATAAATTCGACGCCGCTGGTGTCCTCAACCTAGCGTCTCTCTTCGATCAGCGCTCGCTTGATTCGGTAACATTGAACTCGCGCCTTCTGGGATGGGTCTCGACGAGGAAGGGGCGGCTTCGTATCCAAGCACCAGACTTCAAGAACTCATCTTTCACTCCCCCACTTTCTTACCCTTCGTCTCTCAAGACATCCAATTCCTATCCGCGGGTCCTCTCCAGCATTGCTAATACTCGGACTACTTTTCCGCCATTCTTCGCTGACCTCAAGGGCCGCGGCTTTCCTGCAACCATTTCATTTACGCCCTCTCACCTGGCTATACCTGGGCACTCTTCCCAACACTTCCCCGCCACCACCGAAGGACCTGACCATGCTGCGCCAGTGACACCATCTCCACGAACTCTCAACCGAACAGAGACCCATGTCCTGTTCGCGAGGAATCCAAACTCAGACATAGACCCCGGTGTACTTAAATCCATCAACGCTGCCCTCCCTACTTTCCGCTACTCCAGACCAACCACAACCTTGGAACCACAGAGATCGATCCCTATACGCCCGCTAAAAGCCTTTCCATTACCCTTTCCATAGTTAGGGCAAAGTGGGGAAACGTTGCGCGAAACTCGTCCAGCGGCCATCTGGACATTTATTGATGAAAGAATAACAATATTTTCCCTGGTACTTCCGCTCCGCTTTGCTGGTATTTCCCGGGTATCATTGTGTTTTGCCACCTTCCTGGCAATCCATTCCAGGCCTCTTGTCCACGCTCAAATCAGACTTCGCTACCAGTTTGACAGATGCCCTTCTCATCGGACAAAGGTAATGACGTGCACAGCCACAAATCTGCCGAGGAAGAAGTACCACCGTATACGGAGCAGCCGCTCAGGGACCGGCGCCAAAGGGTGCTTCGCCGTGCTCGCGGAACTGCCAGAAGGATAATGAGAGCCTTCCATCCGTTATGGAGAGTGGCTCTTCCGGTAGTTGGATTCATTCTGAGTCTGCTTTGTTGGTGTCTCTGCTTTCCTGTGCCTCTCGTCTGGTGATTGGGTGGACGCACTCGATTGAGAGAGATGATGGACCTCGCTTTCAGAAAATGGACGATTTCCACTTCAGGGCTGGAAACAACAATGTTCCCTTCGAGATTTTGAAAATAAGTAACCGGCGGCGGAGATCGAGTGTCTCCACATTTGGAAGCTTGCCGCTAGGGCATTCAGTTCGAGTCGGTTATGTCGCCAGAAGGCCCAGAGATCGTGAAAAGTACAAGGGATATCTGAAGGTGCTTCCGTCTACCTCTTTTCCGTTGTGGAATTTCCCCACATATCAAGTTGGAGACACGATCGGTCTCCCACAGAGGACAACATCCTCACCCAGGGGTACCCATTTCACCCCTTTTAGCCTTGCAACTGGTACTCTCGTCTCCCCTTCTATCCTCTCTTCTGGACACACTTGGACACCCCCTTTACCCAACCACGTCGGCGCTATGGTCACTATGACGGAGTCGACCAGGCCAAAGTATTGAGGAGACAAGAGGTCATTAATCACTGAGCCTCCGCCCTCGATCATGATGCTCTGAATCCCTTCTCCCGCCAAGGTTTCCACCAACTTATGCCATGGGATTCTGGAAGGCTTATCATCCACGACTGGCTCAACAACAAGCACCTGTCCCCCCACACTTTCCAACAAATCTCTGACCTCTTTCTTGCAAGGCTGGCACATGACCAGCCATGGCGCCTTTCCTTTTTTCTCTCTCGCAAGGGCAATGCATTTGGTCTTCTCATTGATCTCCCATCGCCCTCTGGGATCCAGAACGATTGGCCTAGGCTGCCCAGTTAATCCCTCTCCACCGTAGCCTCCGGCTCCTTCAATCCGACAGTTCAGGCTGGGGTCGTCAGCTACGGCCGTTCCAACGCCAATCAGTATGGCATCATGTTGGGACCGGAGATAGTGGGTCATTGCCTTTGATTCCGGACCGGAAAGATGCGTCTGCACTCCTGGGGCTAGCGAGAGATTGGAGTCGAGGGATGTAGCGAATGTTAATGTGACATACGGCTTTTCATTCTTGGAGGGGAATGGCAGGTAGGGGTCGATGAGTTTGCTTTGGGTCGCTGGGAAGTGGAGGACTTCGCGGGTTGAAGAGGCCATGTCTTTGGTACCCAGGGTTTCCAAAGGTGCCCTAGATTTTATTATGTTTGCTCTTTGAAGTCCAGGGAATACTTTTTCCACTAGTTGATGCGGATGGTGAGTTGAATCAGAGCGGGGTGGTCGTTGGTGGGTTTGCTTCAAATCTCCGATTCCAGCACTTTCTCTGTCGCGGTTTTACTCTCGGCCAAACCTCTCTTCCTATCTCAAGAAGATGAATCTCATATATCGATGTGAAGATTTCCGGATAGATCTTTTTACGCCGCTTATTAAGCAGAAGGGATTAGTTACCGCCCACCAGGCATCGAGAGAGTCTTGGCACCCACCCCACATCTCTCTGCCACAACGTTGCGCCCAAGCTTGTATCCTTGCCACGTCTGAGTCTCCTGTGTTCTTGCTCCTCCTTTCAAGAGCCATCCTTTTCTCTCACAGAGCAGCTCTAGCCGAAGCTCACACAGGATCTGAATTTTTATTGCTGAACCCTTACCTAAGGACTCCATATCGACTTCCAGCTTCACCCGCTCCACGACACCTCCTCCCACCCCCCGTCACAGGTCGAAACCACGCGCTCCACGTTACTAGTTACTTCCTCGGCAAATATCTGACTGTTTGAGTTGTGCGCGCGAACTACTCGGGATTCATTCCAAGTGTAAAGCTTTCTCGGTCACTATCGTGTTTGCGGGGTGATTACCAGTCGACATCAACTATACACGAGGAAGGGGATTCCGCTAGGCAGCCAAGATGTTGAAGATATGGTCTATGGTGGGTGTTTCGGACCCTTTAGGAATCAACCCTGGGATTAGAAACACGGTCCAAGCTGGTGTGGGTGCTAACTTCGGATACAGAAACAGAAGCAGCAGCAAGATGAGGCGGCACAGGCCGGAAGCAAGAAGAAGAAGGTGACAGCAGCGCAGTTGCGGGTACAGAAAGGTGTGGGAAGACGTGCGTTTCTCTGAGGACTATACTCACGACCTCTAGATCTCTCCGAGTTATCACTCGGCTCAACGATGAAGACGCATTTCCCCAACCCCGACGACATACTCAACTTCACGCTCACCATCGAACCCGACGAGGGCATGTACAAGGGCGGCAAATTCGTCTTCGACTTCAAGATCAACCAGAACTTCCCGCACGACCCGCCCAAGGTCAAGTGCACGCAGAAGATCTACCACCCCAACATCGACCTGGAGGGCAACGTGTGCCTGAATATCCTGCGCGAGGACTGGAAGCCCGTCCTGAATCTCAACGCGGTGATTGTGGGGTTACAGGTATGGTGGAGTGCGGTACACGTGTTGCGGGGCAAACATGCTGACGGGAAGACAGTTTCTTTTCCTGGAGCCGAATGCGTCGGATCCCCTCAATAAGGAGGCTGCGGAGGATCTAAAGGCGAACAGAGAGCAGTTCAAGCGGAATGTGCGGACGTCGTTGAGTGGAGGAAGCGTTAGGGGGCAGACGTTTGATCGTGTCCTGAAATGAGATGCTATCCGGAGATGGTGGGGGCACAAAGGTGATAGAAGAGGGACTGCGTAGATGGATGTGGTGTTCAAGGCGTGCATTTGGGTAACGGCGTCATCATGGAAGCGTTGGCGCAGGCATAAATGGGGGACTCTCTTTGCCGAAGCAGGATTATGATTCGACCTCGTATTCAATGGGGAGCTAGCCGGGTGATTGAGCGATGATCATCTTGTTCAATCCCGACTGATCAACGTCCTGCACTTCTTGGATAGTCTGATTCCGTACTCAGTGCAACTCAAATGGCTACCACCTAATAAGGCCATGAAAGGAAACAGAGTGTGTAGGGGGAGTGACCAGTTGGATGTGGAAAGTCACAGGATATCGGAGACGATACGAGATTCCAGCCCTGTCCGTGACTCTTTACTCTGGGGAAGATACGCTGCGGTGACGGGCCGAACTTTCGGAGCAGGGTGAGTGGTTGGCAATTCACTGAGAGCCGGGGCTTATTAAGCGGACTCCTGGAACATGCCATTGGCTGTCTCGGGGAGTCGGACTCGTCTCCGGTCCCGGCTGTCAACGGCCGATTTCGCTGGAGCTTGGACATGTACGAACTTTCCTACCCGCAAAATCGCCCGCCAGAGAGACTTCTCCCCGATTGCTCATATAAAACCCGCCCCTCCCCCGGATTCTTCTCAAACCAAGATACCCTCTCACACATCACATTTCTCACAATGGCCTCAAGACCTGCCTCCCGCGCTCTCCGCCAGACCGCCCGCCAAGTGGCTTCCTCTGCGCCCGCTGTCCAGCGACGCACCTTCGTCTCAGCTCTCAATGCTGCCCGCTCCGGCGTCGCGGCGGCTCCCAAGGCGGCCGTCAGCTCGCAGTTCCAGCAGAGGCGCGGTGTGAAGACGATTGACTTCGCTGGCACCAAGGAGACCGTCTACGGTTTGTTGTCCCCGTCCCACGTTGCGCTGAGCACCATCTGATTGTAACCGACAGAGCGTGCCGACTGGCCGAGGGAGAAGCTCCTGGTGAGTCACCTGCTGCGTGCATTTTTGTCCCTTGAGCGCTGGAGCTAACATTGGAATCAGGACTACTTCAAGAACGACACTCTGGCCCTCATCGGCTATGGCTCCCAGGGCCACGGCCAGGGTCTCAACCTCCGCGACAACGGCCTCAACGTCATCGTCGGTGTACGCAAGAACGGCGCTTCGTGGAAGGAGGCCGAGCAGGATGGCTGGGTGCCCGGCCAGAACCTCTTCGACATTGATGAGGCCATTGGCAAGGCCACCATTGTCATGAACCTGCTCTCCGACGCTGCCCAGTCCGAGACGTGGCCTCACATCAAGCCTCTGATCACCAAGGGCAAGGTACGGAATTGCCCTCACCTCAATTGATATCCAAACTGACTCCAATAGACCCTCTACTTCTCCCACGGCTTCTCGCCCGTCTTCAAGGACCTCACCAAGGTCGAGGTTCCCAAGGACGTGGACGTCATCCTCGTCGCCCCCAAGGGCTCCGGCCGCACCGTCCGCTCCCTCTTCCGCGAGGGCCGCGGCATCAACTCGTCCATTGCCGTCTACCAGGACGTCACCGGCAAGGCCAAGGAGAGGGCCGTTGCCCTGGGTGTCGCCGTCGGCTCCGGTTACCTGTACGAGACGACGTTCGAGAAGGAGGTCTACTCGGATCTCTACGGTGAGCGCGGCTGCCTGATGGGCGGCATCCACGGCATGTTCCTCGCGCAGTACGAAGTCCTCCGCGAGCGCGGCCACAGCCCCTCCGAGGCCTTCAACGAGACCGTCGAGGAGGCCACGCAGTCGCTCTACCCGCTCATCGGCGCCCATGGCATGGACTACATGTACGCTGCCTGCTCGACCACGGCGCGCCGCGGCGCCATCGACTGGAGCAAGCGCTTCAAGGAGGTGCTCAAGCCCGTCTTCAACGACCTGTACGACTCGGTGGCCGACGGCAGCGAGACGAAGCGCAGCCTGGAGTACAACTCGCAGCCCGACTACCGCGAGAAGTACAAGAAGGAGCTCGAGGAGATTGACAACCTGGAGATCTGGAGGGCGGGCAAGGCTGTCCGCAGCCTGAGGCCGGAGAACAAATAGGGTGTGTAATGTGAAGGGTTTGGGGTAGGAGATGGGAATGGGAAAAGATGGGAAAAGGATATTGTGTAGATATGGTTTTCATTTTTGTGTGCTTTTGGCATCGGGGCGTCTTCTCATCGCTGTCAGCTGGGCGATTCATGACGATTGAGATATTGGCGCTGGCATTAGGATCTGGAATGGAAAAACTGCCATTTTGTCAATGCAATTGCGGACTCATTAACTCCTTGCCATGCGCTCGGTGTGTGAATGGTGTTTCTTCTGCACGACTGGCTTCAGGGTTCCTGGAAAGGTCCCTGTGCCAGGCCTCGGCTAGACCTGCCTGTCAAGAAGCCGGTGTGGGGTAGCCGCAATCGATAGATTGAGATTGCTCTGACGACGACCGCATCGTTCATAGGAAAAGCCAGCGGGAACCTTGTAGCAACACGATTACAAGCGTGATAAGAGGCACAATACATGACCCTCTGAGTCAAGGCCAGTGTTCCAGTCATTCGAGGAAGATAATCGTCCGCAAACGCCCATCGGGTGATATAGGTTACTGTAGACCCGATCACCTGGTACTGAGAAGAGTTATTCAAATACGTTGGGAGAATCCGGACGTGAGACCACGTTAGTACTGGTGAATAGAATCATTCAAGAAGAGTTGTGAGAATCTCAAGGAGAGGGGCGGGGTCTGCTGTTTGCTGGAGAAAAGCAGCTCTGCAAAGAAGACATCAACCCTTGGAAGTTGACAATTGGATGCAGCGTTCCAGTACGCTGAGAGAATAAGAGATTGATTATAGATTTCGAGTCAGGATCAAAGGTTGGAATATAAGGAGCCCGGTCTCTACCAAAGACATATATACTCCTACGAACGCCGTTGTGGTCCGGAGAAGCTCCAGGCTCCATCTCACCTTCGTCCACTACCTTCACCTTCACCTTCACCTTCACCTTCACCTCATCTCCTCGCTCATCATGAGCCAAGATGCGTGGTAAGCTCATCTCAACTTCACACCAGCTTCGGCCGCGGGGTCGGCCGTTTGCCCTCCCACAAACAATCCCTCTCCTCTCACCTCGCCGTCCTACTCCTCCACTCCAACACCTCTCTTCCCCGCACAACCCTGCCGTTGTACTTCTCTCTTCTTCCTATCCATCATCTCGTCTGTCCAAAGAATCCCCATATACCACTCCCACAATGGACCACTCCCTCTACCACCCCACCCCGCACTTCCTCCCCTTCCGCCGCAAACGCCCCAGCAACACCACCACCAGTAACCCTACTCACTCCTCACACCACTCCAGCTCCGGCGCCTCGGGCCCACCAACCTCTCCATCCGCTCCAACAAACCCCTCACGTCCCCCGCTCCTCTACAACGAGGAATACTACTCCTACCTCGACAAAGCCGTCAAGAACCTGCAGGAGGACTACGCCTCTGGAGCCCGCGAGATGGCGAACCAAGCGCTCCGGTATCTGGCTACGGTGATCGAAATTGCGGCTATTACGGCCAGGGATGGAAGAGAGACGTGGGAGATGGCGGTTATGGGGGGGAGGGCGTTGAGTGAGGCCAGGCCTGCGATGAGGTATGTGTGATATTTCTGTTTGTAGTATCATGATGGCTTGGATCGGTTTTTGGAGATTCGTTGGCCTGGGTATGGGGAGTGTGGTTGCCACCTACATCTCCCCTATCTCACTCTTATATCCTTTCTTCTTCGTCGGAAAACTGTATAACCCCATCGTTTCTCCTTCTAGGAACCCTTTTCTCTCTCCTCAGGAACTTCTTCTTCAGCAGCAGCAGCAACAGCAGCAGCGCCAGCAGCGAAATGTCCGGAACACTGACGATGCCTCCATGATCAGTGCGGCGATCACGGCGTGCCTCCTGCGCGCGCTGGCGGCCATCCAGGAGCTATGGGAGGCTCCGGCCCAGAAGGAAATGGATCCCTCGGGACTGGCGCGACTGGCGAGCCAGCGCATTGAGAAGATTGTCAGGGAGAGGAGGGACGCGGAGGGTGCGCTGGGGAGGGGGTTTGCGTTTTGGGTTAAGCGGTTGGTGGGTGAGGTATGCTCTATCTTTCTCTTCCCTCTTTTTCTTTCTTTTCACTCTTTGCTCTTGCCGCGATTCCGTTATGATCTTTTTCAATCTGAAGACGGGAGACTGATACAGTACTTCCTAGCTCAACCCTCCCACCCTTAACACCCAGCCAGGGACCACACCAGGACCAGCACCAGCACCACCGCCAATAACAATCCACATCCTCACCCTCTCCAACTCGTCCACCATCCGCACCGCCATCCAGGCGCTCCTGACCCACGCTCCCGACATCCACCTCGACCTCACGATCCTGGAATCGCGACCGAGGTTCGAAGGCGCAGACATGGCTGCTCGTATCCTCGACGAAGTCGCCAAATGCAAATCCCAAGCCAAGAATCCGCAGTCGCTGGAGAGATTGAGAGTGAGGCTCGTACCCGATTGCGCCGTCGGCAGCGTTTTTGCCCAGAGGAAGGTGGACGTCGTGCTGCTGGGCGCGGATCGCGTGACGAAGGAGGGGGATGTGAGTAATAAGGTGGGGAGTTTGGGGGCTGTGGTGGGGGGGAAGGTGCTTGGGGGGGGTCGGGGTGGGGGGGGGGGACCTGGGGGTGGGGATGGAGGGGTGAAGGTTGTGGTTGTTAGTGATGCGGATAAGATTGTTGGGGATGGTGAGGGTGGTTTTGGCGACGGGGGACATGGCGAGGTGCATCCTGCGGGGGAGGTCATGGGGGCTTGGACCCAGGGGGCGAGGGAGGTTTTAGGGGGGATGCTTGAGGGGGGGATGGGAGGGGGAGGGGAGGGGGTGGTGGGTGGGAAGAAGAGGAGGGAGGAGGGTGGGAATAGGGAGGAAGGGGAGACGGGGAGGACGAGGGGCGTCGTCGAGGTTTGGGGTGAGTGGTTCGAGGTCGTGCCTGCGAGGTACGTGGATGCGTATGTGACGGAGTTGGGCATTTGGGGGCGGGAGGAGGTGAGGAGGGCCGGGGAGGAAGTCAGGGTGTTGGAGGAGAGGGTTTTTGGGAGGAGGGGGTAGGGGGTAGAGGAGGGGATAGAGGAGGGGATATGGGGAGGTGGGATTAGGGTGTGGGGAGGTGGGATAGAGGAGGAGATAAGGGAGAGTTAGGTGGGTGGAAGCGGATCTGCGGAAGCGCTGCTGCCGGATCGAAATGTCCTCAGTCTAAGTTGTCGTGACACATACCCTTAATAATTCGGAATCCATCAGTGCACCAGGCAGATAGCAAGTTTTCAGCAAGATATTGAAACACTTTTTTCCATCCTAGGTTTTCTGGCGAGGAGAGTGGATGTGGATGCGAGCTAGGGATCACGTATTGAAGCGCTGGTAGATTCGGATTGCGAGCTCGTGCTACGGGACTCATTCAATGTATACTCTCGGGTGGCGAGTGGAGTCAGTGGACTGGGAAGGCAGGGTGAGGAAAGGTATAGGTAAGGGTGGGGATGGGGACGGGTTAGATTTGTGGGCGTGGTGAAGAGTGGAGGTATAGCGTTGGGGCGGGAGGGGGGGTAGGTGTGGATGTCGATGTGGATGTTACCCAGGGTATTTCATGTGCATGGGCAAGGCAAAGCACTCAATACCTAGGTACTCACAGATAATGGAATCAGGGACAGCAGTTAGTAGACAGTGCCATCATCGTGCTTCCTAGTTGTGGCCTTATATATGCACGTAGATTGTCAAATTCTTCTACTTCAAGGAGGGAATCTCTGGCTTTTAGTAGTCTCCTAGTTTTCTGTCTGCTAGGGAACTGTCGACTTGTTCTTCTTCTACTACACTGCATTTCTCACCTCACCTCACCTTACCTCGCCTCGCCCCGCCCCTACTGCACATATATCCAACATAGATATTCAAATTACAGAATTATACCTAGAAAAGCAAAATCCTTCTAACCCGTCCTGCATCCCCTTTACATCCCTCACTACTATCGCCATCTCCTTCGCCATCCAATCGCCATCGCCATCTCCCCCACCATCTCACTCGCTGTCACCAAGTCCTCCACCCCCGCAGCCCCTTTCGCCAGTGCCATCACTATCCTCCTTCTCCTCCTCCTCCTCCTCCTCCCCCCTATCGCCGTCTCCTTCACCGTGTTTAACGACTCCTCCCTTTGCTTCTCTTGCCCTAGGGTATTTTACCGCCTCTCTTACTTGCTTTGCCTGCAGTGCCCCTATTTTCTTTTCAGGTCTGGATGTGGGTTGGTGGGTTTAGGGGTGCGGAAAAGGGGCTGGGCAGGAGTAGGGTAATTTCTACGGCTATGCGTAGGTATGATGGGTATAGGTATAGGTATATAACCTCTGAGAGTGGCAAAGGCGAGGAAAATAAACAAGATGATGGAGAAGAAGGAGAAGAAGAAGGAGAAGAAGAAGGAGAAGAAGAAGGAGAAGAAGAAG